TAGAGAGAGGCAGGGAGATAGAGGGATAGAGAGAGGCAGGGAGATAGAGGGATAGAGAGAGACAGGGAGACAGGGAGGTAGAGAGAGACAGGGAGACAGGGAGGTAGAGAGAGACAGGGAGGTAGAGGGATAGAGAGAGACGGAGACAGAGAGAGACAGGGAGATAGAGGGATAGAGAGAGACAGGGAGATAGAGGGATAGAGAGAGAGACAGGGAGATAGAGGGATAGAGAGAGGCAGGGAGATAGAGGGAGAGAGCCCGTGGACTCAGACCCTGTATTACTCTGCTCCCATAGCCTGGGGTTGACCATAGCTTTAGGTGAGTAACTGTAGGTGCCTTCACTCTGTGATCACTGCAGGTTATGTGTGTGTGTGTGTGTATGTGTGTGTATGTGTGTGTTTTGGGGGCAGGTTTGCCAGAAACGTTGGGATTTTTTAAAAGAAAAATAACTTAAAACAAACATTGCAGCCCAAAGTCAATCGAATACTATTCGCCCACGAAATATACCGTCAGTTCACTTTACAGTATAGCCTGTGGAGCGCTTTGAGACGTCTCAACGACGCGGCACGGTAAGGCGCGACGTCAAATGATACAGCAAGGATTATTAAATACTGGCCTGAAAGTGGGTTCCAATATTTACTATGAGTTCTAGCAGATTTAGGTCTACTGCTTTCGAAATTGCGTTAAGAAAAGGTCTTGAGGGGAGAGGAAGAAACGTTTTGCATGTTTAAATTACAAATTAATTGTTTTTATTAACGTGTTGAATACGTGAAGCAGCGAGTGCTCTGCTGGCCCGTACGATCTCTTGGACAAGGCCACATTGAAGAGAAGCAAGCTCCATGACTCCGTCTGATGATAACAACAGCAACAACTTGGATTTATATAGCGTCCTCCACCCCTGACGGGGTCTCAGAGCGCTTTACAGTCACGGATCCCTTCACCTCGCACCCTCCCTTGCCTCCCTCAAGACCCGTCTCAAGACCCTCCTCTTTGAGCGCGCCTTCGGTCATCCTCCTAACCCTACCCTCCCTGCCCTCCGCCCTTCCTGATCCCAACTCGGGTCCAAATCCCTGACTGTCCACAGCGCCTTGAGACGTCCTCCCGATGTGAAAGGCTCTATAATTTGTTGTTGTTGAAACAAGTGCGGTTTAAAAATAAGGTATATCCAGACCTTGACCGATTGTTGTTTTTCAAATATAAAATAATAGCGGTGTTTCGTAATCCGTGTTTGTGGGCATTGATCTTGGGAGTAGGTCACATTTCACGTGTTAATGTTGGAAATTGGGTTTGGGGGTTGTGGAAGGAAGATATTGTTGCCACTGCTCTCTTCTTTTTAAAAAAAAGTTCTTCTTGCAGAAAACGTTTAATACTGAATAGTCTGTTCGCCGATCATGTATGTTCTTTCAGCAATTTTTTTAATGGACGAGAGTACGTACCCTTGTTTCTTTTTGCAGCTCGTGATCAGAATTCATCATGAGCAAGAGAAAGTCAAAGGAGGGCAGTTTATCCGTCGGAGAATGCATCTCGGAGGTTTGTTGATAGAATATTTTTGTGGCATCATTGACTATCTCCATCTTTACATTTTTTGATGCTCTTTCATCAATTCCTTCAAGAAGTTGTGCAATAGTGAAATGATGGAGCTTTTAGAACTGAAAATTAATTGATTCAGATAAATGCAACCAAATTTATTTTGTAATACCTTTTGGTTAAATTGGTGTCCATAGGACCAGGAGAAGACAACAAGGATGGTTTGAATAAACAGGACATCAGGACTCCACTGGAGTGTCAACCTAGATAGACAATATGAGTTCAAAGTCCTACTGTGGGGCTTGAACCCGCAATCTTGTGACGTTGGTAGGTGAGAGTGCTACCAACTGAGCCAGGCTGATACCTGATCATAATATCACTGTGCACATAAAGATAAATAGCTACTTGGCTGAGGTACTGGAGAGTTAATGCTGACTATGAAATAATATTAAGCATCACTTTTTCTCCAATACATTAAACACTGAAATAATGTAATTACAAATTCAATTGCAAATCTCGCTGTTGGTTAAATTTGCAAAGCGACTTTTATTTTTCAAAATTGAATCTTTGACTTGAATGGCTCACTTGTAATGTACAGTACTCTATTGGCCTGTTTTCCTCAGTTTGACTAATGTTCCTCCTTGAATACACAGATTCACAAGATATTAAGATCACGATTCTGCCAACACGACCCTCGTAAACCACTTGGAGTAGACGCTCAGTATAAGTAAGCATTCCTTATAATAATAATTATGATTATATTGTCATTAATAATAATTTGGTCACTCAATCCACAACTGTTTGTGGGACACTGCTGTGCGCAATTGGTTGCCACGTTTCACCCACAAAATATACTGTCAATTCACTTGCGTATTCTGTGAAGCACTTTGAGGCAGCGCAACGGCGTGATAAGGTATTGTATCAAATGCAAGGATTATTATGATTATTTATTGCATGGTACAGTGCAGACGTAACCCTATGAAGTAAATTGGATCCATCTCCTCTTCTGCTGGACATTGTGTAGAGGAGCAGAAAAAGATGTTTGGAAAGTTGTTTTATTTATTTGCTGTTTTTGTGTTCGCCACTGGAGTGTTCACCTCATTTCCTGGGAGCACAGTTCATGGTGGAAGTCTGCACACACCATTTGAAATTGCTAGCCCCATAAGCAAGATTTCGATTCTTTGCCGTGCTGTTGGAATGAACTTGCCGCGGTCGTGAGTTGTTGCATCTCTGGAGAGCAAAAAAAAAAAGTCCCATCTTGCTCTGGTTCACGGTCCTGCGGGGAGGAAGGTAGACAGGATCTACTCGGCGCTGAGCTGGCTCCAAGGTCACATAGGTGGCAACGGAATGCCGGGATCAAGTCAACATGTGTGTCGGGCTTGGTCATAATACTAATCCCTGCATTTGATATAGTGCCTTATCATGTCTTCAAGACATCTCAAAGCTCTTCACAGATTATACTGTAAAATGAGTTGACTGTGGGCGAAATCCGGCAGCCAGTTGTGCACAGCAGTGTCCCACAAACAGTCATGTTTTTTTCTTTTTTGAAGGAAGTATTCCCCTCCCGGAAAAGCAATCCGCCAATCGACTAACAACCGGATTTCTACTTACTGCTAGGTAAACGGAGGCGTGTGGAGTTAGGGAATCTGCCCAATGTTTCGTCCTGCTGATAGTCTGGTTCCAGAGCCATGTGGGTTCTGAAGTACTCTCAGGCACTGCTGATGACTGACCAGCCATCCTAGCTATTTAGCATTATTTTGGGAGCAGAGATTCTTTCCACTCAGCTCTTCTTAACCCTCCAAGCTAAAGCCCCAATGGATTGCATGGTTTTAGCCAGACAAGCAGCAGGAAGCTTGATAGACAATGCTCTCAATGAAAAGTTAGATTTTTTTTTAGCTAGTTAAACTCTAGCAGTATTCCAACACATGCTCTGGGGTCCCTAAGCCTTGCCTCTTGCCAACCTGTGACAAATATTCTGCAGAATTAGGGATCAGCAGGGTGGTTCCAAGGACTGAGTGCCCATTCCATTCTTCACATCTTGGTGTCCTAAGTGAAGGGCACTATATGAATGAAACTGCTGTCTGTTGTACTGGGTTTCCACATGTGTCAGACACCTGCCTGACCGAAAAAAAATCTAGGATAGCAATAAAGACCCTGCAGTCCTGACATGAAACATAATAATCCTTGCATTTGATATAATAATATCAAACTCCTTATAATAATCCCTCCAAAACAATAATAAATTGGTCATTTTCAATCCACGAATGTTTGTGGGACGCTGCTGTGCGCAATTGGCTGCCGCGTTTCGCCCACAAATATAGTCAATTCACTTTACAGCGTATTCTGTGAAGCGCTTTGAGACGTCTAGAAGACGTGAAAAGAGCTATATCAAATGCAAGGATTATTATTATTATAACACCTTATCATGTCTTTGAGATGCCTCGAAGTGCTTCACAGAATATATTGTAAAGTTAATTGACTGTACACTTGCGCACAGCAGTGTCCCGCAAACGATTGTGCATCGAGTGACCAAATTATTAACTTTTTTGAAGCAGTTATTACCCCCGGAAAAGTGATCTGCCAATCGACTAACAACCGGGTTCCTACTTATTGCTAGGTAAACAGGCGTGCGGAGTAAGGAAACTTGCGTGACGTTTCACTCTGCCAGGAATCGAACCCAGGTCCTCTCGCTTGTGAGGCGAGTGCTCTAGCACTGAGCTACAGGACCCCAATATGGGACAATAGTTGTAATGCTGTAAGAAGCCTTGCCTGCAGACACATTTACTTTAAATTTTACATCCCTGTAATTTCCTCCCAGATAACATCTGCCACCCAGCAAGCAGATGTCCTGCTCCCTAAGGTCTCCCAATGACGCTATTGAGCTGGCAGTTTGAAACACAATGTCATCAGAGGGATAAAACTCCCACTGCTTTTTTTTCTCTCTCTCCTCTTCCCTTCTTCTGGATGTGCTTAGATTTCTCTCTGTAGCACAGCGACTCAGACAAGAATTCACAGAATAAGATCATACCCGTGCCTCTCCCAAGATGATGATGCAAGCTTTGGTACTCCACTTCGCTCACTAACGTACTAATCTGCTTCCCTTATGCAGCTTTTATCTCTTTCCCTTTTTTAAAAAAAAACTAAGCAAGACCTTTGATGAGAGAGAGGTTTGAACGAACTCCACACACGTCTGTTTACCTGGCAGTAAGTAGGAACCCGGTAGTTAGTCACTTGGTGGATTGCTCAACGTGGGGCAATAATCCCTTAAAATTAAAAATAATAATAATTTGGTCACTCAATCCATGACTGTTTGTGGGTCATTGCCTTGTGCAATTGGCTGCACCTTTTCGCCCACAAAATATACAGTTAATTCACTTTACAGTATATTTTGTGAAGCAGTTTGAGGCGTTTCAATGATGTGATAAGGCACTATACGAAATGCAGGGATTATTATATTATAATGTGGAGTTCACTGCCATGATTGAAGCAGAAAGTGTGTATGTATTTAAGCAGAAACTCAACTCGTACATGAGAGGGATACGGGAGGAGAGGCTGTATAACCCTTTACTGTATTCTGATTAAATAAATCGAGGCTGTACCACCTTGCAAATGACTGAATCGTTCTTTTAAACTCTAAACAAAATTAAGAATACTTGTGGTTTGAAGAAATTCAGCAGCACAGTGAAACAGAGCACCAGGGTGACATGTCTGATGCAAGTGTTCTTTCCAAGACCGCAACTGAAAGGCTGCAATTTTACTGGTATATGGCTCTGCACGGCTGCTCAGTTTTGATCTTTTTTTCACCGCATGTAAATTTGTCACACTGCTGCTTTGCTGGTGTTTTTCAGGAATTTGAGCGAGCTACTGAAACGAACAGCTGTTCACGGAGAGAGCAACTCTGTCCTGATTGTTGGTCCCAGAGGAGCAGGGAAAACAATGGTAAACGTTCCTTGTGTATAACATTCCCCCTGTACTGCAATGAGAGCAAACGGCACGTTTATTTTTTTTTAAAACAATTAGGAGCAGCCTGGGAGCCTGCGGCCAGGGGTTTTAGCCTTGAGTGACATTTCAACTTCTCCCACTTCTACCATCTCTTTGTTGGCGTGCTTGATTCAATGAGCAAGCATCTCGGAGCTCGAATTCTAACGTCCTTGTGTCCTTATTTTACGGTTTTCATTCAAGGGGCAGCTTTTATAGGTGCTGTTAAGCACCGCGAGTGGCTGCACTGCGTGAAGGGTGCTAGAGAAACACAAGTTGTTGTTGATGCATTGTCTTGCTGTGGGACAGTGAGGGAAGAGCAGCCAATTGTGCACTCCCTTTACCAGGTTGTGAAATGGTCTTTATTGAAGCCGTAGAGAATTTTCTGGCGCAAGTTGATTTGAAGACTGCTGAAATAATGATCTGTTTGTAAGATTTGTCTAGACTGTCATAGCAGCAGGTCTTAGCGGTCACGTACATTTAAAAAATGACATATTTGTCTTGCAATCCATTCCTTTTAGAGAATGTGCGGGACTGGCAGTATTTTAAAATGATTCATTCTGACCAGGGAGACTTCGTCAGTTTATCTTAGGAAGGAGAGATTGCCCTTGAAAGGACACAGAAACGAGCAAGCTAGACCATATACCAATTCTTTGGAATCCAAGTTATGAGGAATGGTTAAGGAAGTCGGGATTGACCTCTTTCAACAACAGGAGACTGTGGGATGACGTGATGGACAGTTTCAAGATTATGAAGGAGCGTCACCAAAATAAATAGAATTTGGAAATAACAGCAATAACTTGTACACTTGTACAGCGCCCTTTACGTCGGAAAGATGTCCAGGGCGCTGGGCAATCGGGTTTTTGGACCCAAGTTGGGGTCAGGAGGGATGGAAGGCAGGGGGGTGGAGGTGGGAGGGTGGCTGAAGAGCACTGTCAAAGAGGAATGTCTTTAGACAGTACTTGGAAGAGGGTGAGGCGGAGGGATTGCGGGATCGAATTCCACAGTGTGGAGGCAGGGATGCTGAATGCCTGACCACCAATGGTGGGGCTGGAAGTGCGGGGGATCTGAAGCAGGTCGGTGTCCGCTGAGCCGAGGGAGCGGATAGGCTGATATGGGGTTAGGAGAGAGGTCGTGGGGAGCAAGACCGTGGAAGGATTTGAAGGTGAGAACGAGAGTTTTGTACTCGATTCTCTGAGGGATGGGGCCAGTGAAGCCGGACAAGTAAGAAAGGATTTCAGGTGAAAGTCCTTTTGCACAATAAGCTTGTGGGATATTTTATCCAGGAAGACCAGTGAATCCAGCTGTGTCTGTGCCCTATTTGTACTAGATAGGGCACACAGTTTGCAGTAGATTGTTCTGAAATGCAGTATAAATTGGTGGTGTAGGTGGTTTGAGCAGCATTTTGATTCAAAACTGCTGGAGTGGAAGTACAGAGGAGGCAATTTGATTTTGATTTTGTTCGAAATCGTGCCTTAAAAGTACTTGGGCTGTCTATTTAAGGGAACTTTTTTTTTGCAAAAAAAATAGTGGCATGATTTCTTATTGTAAAAATGCAAATGCCTATTATTGGAATTCTGCATATGTGGAGTTGGCCTGCTATTGGAGTGTTCCTCACCTCACTAACGCTAGTGTGTGTCAACCTGACTCAGTTGGTAGCACTCTCACCTCTGAGTCAGAAGCTTGTGGGTTCAAGCCCCATGTCGAGACTTGGATCCATATAGTCAAGACTGCAAAATCCCGTGTAGCGGTTGGGGGTATGGTGCATTGTTGGAAGTGCTGTCCTTCAGATATATTGTAATATAAATTCAAATGAGACATTAAGCCGAGCTCTGGTCTGCCTGGTCCAGGTGTACATTGAAGATCCCCTGACACCATTTGAAAAGAAAAGGGAGTAATTCCCGGTGTCTCGACCAACTAATTGTGTTTGGCATTTAGTAAGTGCAAACAGTTCTGGTGAATAAGCTTACTACGATCTGTTGAGCAGTGTCAAAGCCTCAGGTTTTCACAAGAGTGACATGCAATCAAATTTCTATTACTTGTGTTTATTCACAACTTCTGGTGCGTTTCTCTTACACAGTTTGCTTTTCAAGAGCTGAATGCTTTTACTTTAAAAATAGCTTGCTGACTGATGAGGTTTGTATGGAAAAACTAGATGGCTTCTGAAACTACAACGACCTTTCATAGAGAGGGGACAGAAAATTGGGTGACAATTGGGTGGGGAGAAATTTGGTCACTCAATTCATGACTGTTTTTGGAAACTGCTGTGTGCAGTTGGCTGCTGTGTTTCGCCCACAGAATACAGACCATTCACTTTACAGTATATTCTGTGAAGATCTTTGAAATGTCTCAACGATGATAAGGCACTATATCAAACGCAAGTATTATTATTATACATTTTAATATGAAAAGAACTATGGCCACAGCTAGCTCTTCCTTCCTCCCTTCACCTCCTCCCTGGATCAGGAAAGGAATAAGTGGGTTAATAAACCTATTGCACTTGTCACAACAATTATCCATACTATTGCCCTCACTGCAAGAAGAAAAGGTGAAAGGTGTTGTATCAAATGCAAGGATTATTTATTTATTATTTAAAGTTAGCAATGTTCAGCCTGAAATATTGCACTTTGAAGCCAATTCAAAAGGACTTTGTTTACCACCATAGAAACCAGTGCATTCACACACCTGGGATCTTTACAAATGGTGAACAGCTGGGTAAAGACTGGTTGTACCAGTTTGTCTCACACCTTGAATTGAAATGAATTGAGTTGGTGTAAATGGATAAAATCCTGTATGACGATGGGCTTGTGCAAAAGTGCAGTTTTATGGTCCGTTTACTTAAGCCAATGCTGTTTCCTGGCTTCACTTTGTTTTGCTGAAAAGGTCAGATTGCATTTTTCGAATCCATTTCTTTCGAAGTTCCTTTCCCCTCTGTTCCGATCCCGTCTATGTGTTGTAATAACTAATGTTACTCTCATGAAACTCTTGGCTGCCTGCTTCCACACTCCTAAGTGTTTTTTTTACACACATCTACGCTATTCTTAACTCCCTGTTCAGATGCCTCTTACTTACTTTCCTCGTAATTATTAAATCAAATGATGCTTGTGAATACTGCACAGTTGTTACAAGAGTTAACTATGTTGAGTGATTAACACAATACAAATTTACATGTGTATAGCGCCTTTTTAGTGCTCCAGGACGCTACCCTGCGTGAAGCGTGCTGTATAAATGCAAATCGTTTTACTTTGGAAGGACGTACCAGGGCTCTTAAGAATAACGGCTTGGCATCCGAGTTGGGGAGGGGAACCGAGAGGGGCCGGGGAGGGGGAAAGATGACCATAAGCACAGTCAGAGAGAAACACCTTGAGACATAGCTTGAACAAGTTGAGGGAGGAAGCGAATCGGAGGGACACCAGGATGGAGTTCCAGAAAGTGGGGGGAGATAGGCTGAAAGCCCGCCTATGCGCACAGCAATATTTCACAAACAGCCATGAAGTAAATGACCAATATGTTTTTGAGGATTGTTGGCTCAGGATACCAGGAAAAAGTTCCTTTCTCTTTTCCAATAGTGTCATGGATCTTTAACGTCCACCTGAATAGTTAGACGGGTCGTCCGTGTAACATCTCATCCCAAGGACAGCGCTGGCAACAGTAGAGCACTGCATTGGAGTGTCAGTCCAGATTATATGAGTTTATCCTAATGTGGGACTTGAAACCCACAACCTTCTGACTTCGAAGCGAGAGTACCACCAACTGAGCCAGGCTGACCGTGATTTATTAATGCATTTAATATTTAAATGTAGTTGGTAAAACGTTTGCTGTTTTTTTAAAAGAAAAGACTGATTTACTTGTGAAAAAAAATGTACCAACAGGAATTTTTTGAATTCTAGTGGTTGCTGTTTTTTCTCAAGACTTTGTCAATATTGCACATACTTTGACCCGCTATGCAGATGAAGGAAATCTGGAGCACATGAACTAGATGCGTGCAGTGAACTGAAATTACATTGTCTTAGCTTTGTTACAGATCAGTTGAATGCACAGAGATTTATGGGTTTATGTATATTTTTTTGTACATTTTCCTGTGGTAATGGTCAAACCAAGTGATTTAGAAAAACTCAGTTTTAGCTAAACTATGAGAATTAGTTCAAAACAAACAAAAAGTTCAAACGGTTCTTGGATATCTGTCTCATTAATCTGGCTCCAAACACCACAAATAGTTTCATCACACAGTATATGTACACACGCCTTTTTCCAGATGTCTCTTTTCCTCTTGTTTTTGTCCCTTAAGTTTGTAATCAGACTCATTTTGATTCCCTCTAAACTGTTGAGAGTCAGAATTTATAAGCAAATAACGTAATGATTGTAAATAATGTCTTATTGAAGGATTAACTGTTCTGATGAGGGTTTTTTGTGGCAAAAAAATCAAACTAAGATTTAATTTGAAGGGCTTGTATCTAAATTGTTAGGAAGGAATCTTAATTTGTGTGACATTGCACTTGGAAACAAAAAAAATGCAATTGTTCTGATGTGGTACTAAAACAGTCATGGGGAGTTAAGTTAGGTAAGAATCAGAGATTGACACATAATCAGGTGCTAAATGCTTTATAAATAATATTTGTCTGGTTGGCTCTTAGGCACAAACCGCTTTCTTCATCCCATATAAGTAGCTTCCTGTTTTTTTATTTGATTAACAATTAGCGTCATATTACAGTGATGGTCTGCGGATTTAATGGTTGCAATTCTAATTAGAATCAGCAAAAAGGGGAGAAAATAAGTCGTTAACATAGTGCTTAGGGGCAAAGCTTAACATTTCCTTAAACTACCTGGATAGAAAGCGTAAATGTTGCAATCGTTTTGGGGTTTCTGTTGGGAAGACACTTTTACAAACTGCTTAATCATTTGAAATCTACCATTGTTGATCTTGAGGATCAACATCACATAATAATTTTGTCACACAATTGGCTGCCGCGTTTCGCCCACAAAATACACAGTCGATTTACTTTACAGTGTATTCTATGAAGCGCTTTGAGACGTTTTGAGGATGTGATGATTAAAAGACAAGGATCATTATTATTGCAATATCAAAACGTGCCTTACTATTTGCTTCACCTGTGTTCGGGTTTTAGTGCACAAATAACAATTCATTAAGTTGGGCTGTTTGTAACAGACTGAGGATGCATGTGTGGGTCTCTTTGACATGGCTCAGTTATTAATCTCAAATGGAAACTAAAATAAATAGCCTGAACTATTACACAATAATTTCCGCATCCAATAAACTCATAATTTCAACTAAATTATGTCATTCATATTTCCGTACAGCAACTACAATAAAAAGTATTTCATCATGGAATTTTCTCATTAGGAGGAACATTCGTATTGTGCTAAGGAAAACAAATTGTCACTAAATTTATTCATTTAGAGACTACTGTATTTTAGAGACTACTCCTTAGTTAGTATATCAGCTGCCGGGTTTCGCTCACAGAATATACAGTCAATTCACTTTACAGTATATTCTGTGAAGTGCTTTGAGACATCTAGAAAACAAGATAAGGTGCTATATCAAATGCGAGTATTATTATGTTGTACGTATTCTTGGAGTACTAGGAACAGTTCATATATTGTACATCGCTGGTAATTCAAAACTATGCTGAATTGTGCCTTGTTTTAATAGGAATCCATAATACGAGAAGCTCAGAGGTTAACCTTTTTTTTATTCCCCCCCAAAAAACAAATCCTAACTGAGGCGGATTAGTGGTGGCGAAATAAAAGGTCTGGTTAATGGTTTGAAAATTGTTCACACTGAATCAGTGATTAGGAGTGGAGACACTGTGGAGGGAATCTCCCTGGATTATACAATATTATGTTGGAAGATGTGCAGGGTTATGATATGTATGGTTTTCCGCACAACAGCCCTGAAGATATTAGTTTGAAAACTATTTTCCTTGCCAGCTGTGTCAGTGTGACCTTCATGCAAACCATTCTCATTCGTTCGAAGCCTGCTTTTTTTATCCAAACCTCTTGCACAAATACAGCAATAAATTGGCTGGAGTGCAAGAATCCCTTCATTTAAAATATACTGAACATATATATTTGTCATGATCTCATAAGGGACAATTAGAGGACTTAAAGGTTTATGAGTACAATTTTGTGTTCTGTTGTGAAATCCTCTCTGATTTAAAGGCAGATTGGCTGACCAGAATATTAAAAAAAATTTAACTCAAGAGATTTAACATATTTCTTGTTGGAATACTGATTTTCAGCAAACATCTGAAGCTTATTTACAGATAGTCATTAGCCCAGTGTTGAATAACAGCCAAAACAGTATATTTTTCAATCAATTTGTTTTTCTCAAGGTATCTTCAGAAAATATTATATAAAATGTACTATGGTGAGTTAGGTGAAAGATTCAGTAGAAATAAGTGAAGGAATACTAATAACGCAGCACAGAATACATATGTTGAACAATTTCGCTGATGTAAGCAACATGAATAATCTTCGCTTCTATGTGTGGCCGATTGTATTTTATTAATCGAGAGATAATTGGAAGGACTTGTTGTAGATTTGCCTTAAATTGATATTGAATTGCCTTGTGTTTTATTCCTTATTATGTTTTATTTAGTTGCTGAAAGGCGTTTTGAATGAATTGTTAGAAGCAAATTCAGTCAAGGAGAATCTTCTGCAAGTTCACTTAACTGGTGAGTAACTGGGGAGAAAAAATCACTAAATGTTACACTTTTCTTTCATTAATAAGTTGGGTGTGTATGTTTGATGTTTCACATTAGAATTCTGTTATCCTCTAAGATCATCAGCCCTTTCAATCCAAGGTGCCAGGTGACAAAACATTGTGTAACGCAGCTTCAAACTGTCACATTCACTTGGTCACAATTGGCTGCCGCGTTTCACCCACAAAATATACAGTCGATTCACTTCACAATATATCCCGTGAAGTGCTTTGAGACGTCTCAGCAATGTTTTAAGGCCCTATATCAAATGCAAAGATTATTTTTATTTATTATTCAGAAATATTGAAAACCACATTTTTTTTATACAGAAGATTGTTTTACTTCCTATTAACCATCCATCACATTTGAAGGGCCTGCAGATGCGATTTATTGTTTTGGTCCATGTAAATTGTTTAAACAAAAATGTTTTTTAGGCTTATTGCAGACAGATGACAAGATTGCCTTGAAAGAAATCACAAGACAGCTCCAGCTTGAGAATGTTGTTGGAGATAAAGTGTTTGTGAGTACCTTTTTATAACCAACACAGAGAACTTGTGGTTCCCTGCACCATTAACTGCTGGCTCATGTGTAACGGGAATCATTTTAATTGTTTCTTGGGTTTTAAAGTAAAAACACGTATGTGCTTATAAGGAGTCCTGTAGCGTATTAATTAAAGCGCCCGCCTTGCAAGCAATTCCTGGGCAGGGCAAATGTTTGGCAAGTTTCCTTACTCCACATGCCTCTGTTCAGTAGGAACTGGGTGTTAGTCGATTGGCGGATCGCATTTCCAGAGTAATAAAGCCTTTAAAAATACACTAAAATAAAAATAATCCCACAAACAGTCATCACTAATCCACAACGTTTTGTGGGACACTGTTGCGAGCAATTGGCGGCTGCGTTTCGCCCACAAAATATACAGTCAATTCACTTTACAGTGTATTCTGTGAAGCACTTTGAGACGTCTAGAAGACGTGATAAGGGACTATGTCAAATGCAAGGATTGTTGTTATTACATTCCTGAGGTTTCCTGTATATACAGTGGATTCCCATTAGAACGTGGTAAATGTAAGTCCCAAAAATCCTAACCAGTGCCAAATTGGGGCATGATGGCTGGTCAGTGCTTCTGCAGCCACAACACATAAGGAGGAGATGGTGGTGGTGACCTGACCTTATGAACCAGAAGTGGGACATTTGTTAGTGCCCAGGAAACCCAAATGATCAGCTTCTGGGGAATTTGTTCACAGTTGATGTCGCTCCCTGTGTGTTGTGGCCTCTTGTATTGCTCCAGTCCCTCGTACTGGTAAGCATATGTGCTGTGTACAATAAATAACAAGAGGGAGCAGTTACTTTGTTAAGTTTGTGGGTAAATTACCCCATATCAATGCTTTTGATAGTCAAAAAGAGTTTAAGATGACCTGGTGGAAGTGCCTTAATGTAAGAAAGAAATGAATCGCATCTTTCTCGACCCTTACATCAACTAGTCTGCCAACTACTTCTTAAGTCTTTCCTATCAACTGTACTTATCGGCAAACTTAGCAGTCAGCAAGGTTCCACAAATAGCCACGAGGCTCGTGAGAAATTAATCTGGAGGATTGTTGGCCAGGATACCAGGGGAATTTCCCTCTCCTTTCAAATAGTGCTGTGGGATCGTTAATGTCCACTTGTTAAAGACATTACATGAGGTCCTGTGTTATCTATACAACAACAGCAACCTGCATTTTTAATTAAAAACAAAAATGCAATTTGTTGTTGTGATATAGACAACACAGAGCTTCATGTAATGTCTGATACAAAAGACAGCACCTCCACCAATGTAGCATCCCTTAGTACAGTACTGCATCGAGAGTCAGCCTAGATTATGAGCTCAGGTCCTGTGGCGTAGGAAGGGAAAGATCAGCAAATGTAACCCAGAGAGGGTTTGATGTGACTGCTGCTGAATCTCCTTCCTTCCACCTCTGAATCTCCCAACAAAGTAAAAGCCTTGTTTCTAAATAAAATGTGGCTCAAGGTTGTTTGAGCCTGTGGGCTCCCGGCTGGAAACACCTCCTCGAAGCAGTGGTTGCTTGCATCTCCCCATATGTCATCTGGATCCAATTTCATCAACCTCCCAAGTGGATTTGGATTTAGATACAATTTTGTGCCTAACCACTTACTGCAGTGAAAAGGTTGAAGTGCTCTTGGGAGCACTTGAATAGATTGTGTGGCTTTCTTGCTCATAACACTTGTGGGCGCAGAATAAAATCCTGATCCCACCGCACAGTTGCCACGTGTATTACCTGACACATCTAGTGGCACCCATAGCTACTAATGTACAACCAGTTTACAAAAATATCCGGATGTGGGTACAGACTTCCACAAGCTCCTTTGCCTTCAACTTGCCACGGCTTATGTGGCTGCCATGTCAAACCATGGATAAAAAGTATGAAGTGTAACGTGAGTGACCAAATTAAAACAAAATAATAAAATTTGGAGGGATTATTACCCCTGGAAAGCGATCCGCCACTCAGCTAACAACCAGGTTCCTACTTACTGCTAGGTAAACAGAGGCATGAATGAATCCAGAGGAAAAGTCATCATAAATCCTTGCCATGGGGAACCCGGAGCTGACAACTCCATTACAGCAGCATGATTTGCAAGTTACCAAAACTGGCTAAATTTCATATGCTACTGCCTCTTTCTTTCAGCGGAATAACAGTATCTTATTGTATATATCTAGTGCGTCCCCATGTTTCCCCGCTGCTATACATCTCTATCCTTTTGCTCCAGCTTCCCCTTATTGGCATGCAGTTCCACAGACACTGGTTGACCTCCGGTTCCCTGTCAACAACAACAACTTATACAGCCCCCTTCATGCAGCTTAGCGTCCCAGAGCGCTGTCAATTTATGCGGGAGCCTTGGCAGTGAGTATTGGCAGGCTGCTCAACTGACCTCTCCCCACCCAGCTGCCCCACATGCACAACCAGTAGAGGATGCTATACAGGGATAAGGAGCTTGAACCCAGTGTGGTTTCCCCCATCCTCCCCAAAACTGGACCAATTTATTCTCCTCTTGCAACTCTATCTGAGACTAGTAACCACAGACTGGGATTCAAACCAGTGGGAACCTGGTTCATAAGCTACAGTTCTATCCACTTCACTGTAAATACCGTCCCTTTTTATTTTCAATATCGTATGCAGAGAGAGCTAATCCTTCTGGGAAGAACCCTTGACGTTGTTTAAACTTTTGTAATTTCAGGGAAGCTTTGCCGAAAACCTTGCGTTTCTTCTGGAGGCTTTGAAAAAAGGTAGGCGCGGTCAAACTGTTTGATAAGAGCTCTTAAATTTAGCACAAAATGGTTTGTAATGAAAACTTCGCAACACGCACAGTGCAGGGCTGATTGATGCATTTTGATTTTTCATTTCCTCCCTGCTGAAAGTTGCCACTCGTGATTGGGCGCAGTGTTACCAGCCCTGGCGACACTTCAAATCTAATGTTTGTGTGCGCCTGGCTCGCCAAACCCTGTGTAAAACCTGCTGAGTGATCCAACTGGCGGCCCCGCGGACTGCTTTCTCTCCATGACCTGTGTGTGTTGTGTTCTAGAAGGGAAACGCAACAATATTGGTTCTGCAGCCCGCGGACGTCTCGCAAATTGGGCATCCGGGTCTCAGTAGTCCAAATGGTTGGACCCACCCTGACAAAGGCTTAGACAAAGTCTTGTTTGCCTATTGTGAAGGGCGGAAGCCACAGCTGCAGTTACAAAGAGAGAAGCAAAACCAAAATGGGAACTATTAAGAATCGCAGTTTGTGATTAATTTTATGGATCCGTGAGTCACGATCGATCCATAGCTGTCGGTTATTGATGTGTTTCCCCTTTATTGGCTTGGCTTGTATTGATTTCAAAGGTTGCAGTTCACAAGCATAAATCCCTTGAAACGGTTAAAGCTATCCATTGGAAAATGCTTCCAGCTGTTAGGAGCGCAGATTGCAATTTTCCCATTGGGCTGGCGAGAGGGGAATTTCTACCTATAAATTTGCCTCTGTGCCGTAAAATTGAATTTCATTCTTGCCAAGCAAAAAATAAAGTTTAAAAATGTTGAAGTGTGAATTTCGAGTGCACAGGGAGAGCAACAGACAGGCAGCTATTTTTATTACAGAGGAGCATGGTTTTGAATGGTTCCTGGGTCTCAGACTTACCTGGTGTTTGTTTGCGTGTTGAAGGTTGGGCAGCTCATCGGAATTGTACAGCGTACAGAATAACAATAATAATCTTTGCATTTGAGAGGGCGCCTTATCACATCACCTAGACGACCCAAAGCGCTTCTCAGAATGAACTGTAAAGTGAATTGACTATATGTTTTGGGGGCGAAATGTGGCAGCCAATTCAGCACAGCAGCGTCCCACAAACTGGTTTTTTTTTTGGGGCATTTCACTCTGATTTCCCAACACCGCGCAGCTACAGATCTGGATGCCAATTGTCTGTGTTAGATTTGACGTATTGAATTATTTGCAAACTGTTGCTGCAACTGACATCACCCCTTCCCATAGTATTCAGAAGGGGATGGGAATTAGAAACTTGGTGTTAGCTCGTTATCAGCTGGGCTTTACATTTCTATGGGTCTGTGGTTTTATTACCAGCATCAATGAAGGCCTTCCGTTAGCCATTTTTTTGGTACCTTTGTTTTTGGTCAGCCGGGTGTCTCGCCACATTCGGAAACCCATCACCGTGCTTAAGAGAGCCCAAACCAAACTGAGAATTCCATGCATTCCCACTTACACATGGAGAGTCCAGAGATAGATTGTTGGAATGAAATGTGCACTCTCTCACTCCCTGGAAGGATGCAACCTGCTGCAGATCCCAAACGCTGCAGCTCGTGTACCCTCACGCACCAGGCTCCGCGACTCCATCACTCCCACCCTCGCCCGACTCCCCTGGCTCCCCATCCCCCAGAGGATCGAGTTCAAGATCCTCGACCTCACCTTTAAGGCCATCCATGGCCTTGCCCCCTCCTACCTCTCTGACATGCTGACTCCCTACCAACCTGCCCGCTCCCTCCGTTCATCAGGCTCCGGTCTGCTCCATGTCTCCCGCCCTACCATTGGTGGCTGAGCTTTCAGCCTCTCTGCCCCCACACTCTGGAACTCCATCCCACGGTCCCTTCGCCTCGCTTCCCTTGCCTCCTTCAAGGCCGGTCTCAAAACCCTTCTCTTCGACCGTGCCTTTGGTCTCCCTCCCACCTCTCTGCCATCCCTCACCACTACACCCCCCCTCCCCCATGCTCGGCCCCGACAGCTGACTGTTCAGCGCTTTGGGACGTCGCCCCGACAGCTGACTGTTCAGCGCTTTGGGACGTCCTCCCGACATGAAAGGCGCTCTACAAATGTAATATTATTATTGTTGTTGCTTACCTAATTACGGAAAGTATTAGGCGCAGGTTGGCAAGAGCCAAGGCTTGGGGACCCCAGAGTGTGTGTTGAGGTAACTGCTGGAGTATGACCAGCTAAAACCGTATTGCTTGGCATCGAGAGAACTGTCTGGCAAGCTTTCCCACTGCTTGTCCAGCTAGAACCACCCTGCCCGTTAGAGCTTTGGCTTGTGGGCTTAACAGTTGCTGAGTGGGACAATTCCCTGCCCCCAGTGACTTGATACCTGTTTCAAGTGTTTTCTTTCTCTCTTTATAATGTCCTTTATTGTTTCCATCCAGGAGATCGCAGTAGCAGCCGCCCAGTGCTCTTTGTCCTGGAAGAGTTTGACCTCTTTGCTCATCACAAGAATCAGACCTTGCTTTACAACCTCTTTGACGTTTCTCAGTCAGCCCAGACGCCTGTGGTCGTGGTGGGGCTGACTTGCCGACTGGTAAGGGCACCGGAGAATATTTCTTAAAAAAAAAAACTATTTGAATTTGATTTGGCAGCTGAATTTAGAGACAAAGGCAGGTTTTAATTTTTCACCTATTTGCTCTTTCTCATTTCCATACTCAGCCCCCACTCGCCTCACACAAACACACGTACAAACACACTCACTTTCACTTACCATTGTTACAGATATGAGCAGGAATTGTATTCATCCAAGTGTTTCAAGATCAAAAGTTAAGTGTATATCAATAGACTAGAATAGCTATGTGAGTAAAGGATGGGGTTCAAAATCAAGGTGATGGTGATAATGATAATAATAATAATAATTCTTAGATTTGATGCAGCGATTCAGAGGGTGTGTCAATGCCTTAATAAGATTTACTGTACAGGGGAGTGATGGTGTACGGACACATACCTTTCCCTCTGTCAAACTGAATAGCTAACGTGTATACAACAACAAAGTGACATGTGTAAAGCACCTTTCACGTCGGGAGGACGTCCCAAGGCGCTGAACAGTCAGGGGTCAGGACCCGGGGGTGGGGGTGGGCAGGATTGGGATGAGGATACCTTGACTGCTCAGTTGCAAGAACAGTTTCCCTCTTGTCATAAATTTGATTGAAGAAGCAACTTTTTTAGCAGTGGGGATCAACCTTTATGGTTGACCAACAAAATAAATTTTCCTGAATGATTATTTCTTGATTTACAGCACACTACTTAACGATGATCGAACACGGACTTAATGTTCGGGGGGGTTGGGGGTGTCTTGTTGATGTTCCCGTGAGCCAGGGGTTGGTTTATAAGGCACTGTTTGGATTGGGAGAACGAGCAGAATTAAATACTTTAAAACAAATTAGTTTAATTTGGGTGCAGTTAACCTATTGGTACAGTGTATCTACTGGAAATATTGGATTACTGAAAGAAAGAAAAAAAAGTTTCCAATTTCAGCCAAGGCATTGGGGAGAGGAATGGTTGTGGAGTCCTGTAGCTCAGTGGTTAGAGCACTCGCTTTGCAAGCGAGAGACCTGAGTTCAATTCCAGGCAGAGGGCGAAACCTTGGGCAAGTTTCCTTACTCCACACAGAGCCTAATAATAATCCCTCCAAAACCAAAAACAATAATAAATTGGTCATTTTCAATCTACGACTGTTTGTGGGACATTGCTGTGCGCAATTGGCTGCCGCGTTCGCCCACAAATATACAGTCAATTCACTTTACAGTGCATTCTGTGAAGCGCTTTGGGACGTCCTCCCGACGTGAAAAGCGCCTTATCAACTGCAAGGATTATTATTATTGTTAAGCTAAGGTTAGGAATTCGAGGGTGAATTGCTCTGGAACACTATTATCTGGCCTTTACGTTACCGTATTTCCCTGATCATCATCATAATCTGTGCATTCGGTATAACGCCTTATCATGTCATTGAGACGTCTCAAAGCGCTTCACAAAATATGCTGTAAAGTGAATTGACTGTATGCTTTCTGGGTGGCAGCCAATTGCGCACAGCAGCGTCTCACAAACCATCGTGGATTGAGTGACCACATTATTTTTTTTTGAGGGAGGGATGATTACTTCCGTAAAGCGATCCGCCAATCGATTAACAACCAGGTTCCTACTGACTGTTAGGTAAACAGAGATGTGTGGAGTAAGGAAATTTGCCTAAGGTTTCAAACCTGGGTACTCTCGCTTGCTAACCACTGCACTACAGGACTCCTACATTAAATGACACAATGTTGAAGTCTGATTTAACCAGTTGCAATTTGTTCTCATAATTCCTGTTTTTACATCCGATTGAATTGCCTCCAACGTGAGCAAGCGAGCGAGCAAAGTACTGCAGCTGCTTTCAGTTCTCAGTTGCGGATTCTAGCAAACGGTCCTTTCAAGGCATCGTTGAAAACTAGAATCCTACATAATTTAATAATGAAAGTTCCTTTGATTACATCTTAGGTGGGGGTGGGGGGGAGAGCACTTTGGAAATCTAAAGCTTGCAGCTGGGTTGGAAGAAAGGATTCGATTAGGGAAATGCGTTGTGTACAAATTGTGTGGCTATTTTGTTTCATAGTCGTTTTATTTAATTGCAGGATGTTTTGGAATTGCTGGAAAAGAGAGTGAAATCCAGATTTTCCCACAGACAGATACACTTGCTGAACGCATTCGATTTCAATCAATACGTAGAAATCTTTCGGCACCAGCTTAGATTATCGAAAGAATTTCCAGATCGACGATTTGCTGAAGAATGGAATCAGAATGTACAGGTAATAATTTTTCCTGCTGAGGACATTTGCACGTGGAGTGAATTAAGACTTAGGCAGGTAATGCCTTTAAGCTAGCACTTCACCTGAAACATTGTATGAATAGATTTCCGTTTGAATATTGAAGATGCATCAATATTGGCATTATTTGGAGTGCCAGAGGGGCTTGTAGGATTGTTTTTAATGGGAATTCCCATCTACGTGGAATATTGAATTGCAGAGTGCATTTAAAGTTCCATTATGTGCTGTTATAAGTCCAGTGCTTTGGATTTTCTGCATTATTATGCTGTTGGATTGAACTAATGTTTTATTGCTAATGTGTTGCCGTTACAAGGCCACATTATGACCTGCAGGTAGTTAATATTGGTCCACATTTTAATCCTCTTAACATTAGAGCTACAGGATTTTTACAACCACTATTGGAAGGGTGAGAATAGATAAATCCACAATAGCGCACTTCTGTAGCTATCACGCGATTCTTAGTGCTGTTGGACAAGGAAAATGCATTGTTTAATTTTTGCCCTCTCCTATTCTGCTGGACTTGGATATGTATCTAAAACTATTATTCCTGATTTAGTCACTCTTAATATTACGTTGACATTTTCTCATTCTCATCTGGTGAAGCTCGCACTCGCTAAAGCAACGAAGCAAGGAAAAGGAGCGCTCATTGGCCAAGATGACACCGAGCAAAACTTCCTGATAAACAATAACCACAACTTGCCCCTCACGCAGAGTAGCTTCCCAGAGCGCTTTCGACGAAAGCACATTCCTGACAGCATTTCCTACCCTCACCAACCTATGGTTGCTATGATAGATCTATGAATTGAGACTATCAATTTAATGCAGGATTGAGAACTCTTCTCCTAATAATAATTCCAATAATAATCCTTGCATTTGATATAGCGCCTTATCACGCCTTTGAGACGTCTCAAAGTGCTTCACAGAATATACAGTACTGTAAAGTGAATTGACTATATTTTGTGCCAGTCCATCATGGAATTGACTACTATCTCAGTCCTCTTGGCTCTGCTTAGCGTAATTAACAACACTGAATTTCTAGCCTTGAAATGCACACTGGGAAAGAGTAACCTACTATTTATCCAACGCAAAAATAAGGCGTCGCTTTATAATAAGAATTCAGTCGCCTAGAATAGTTTTTCTCCGGCACAACATATTGCGGACTGTTTTCAGTGTCATCTGGAAAATCAAATGCATGACCAAATCTATGACAAATACTCTGATGCATCAAATATTTATAACTCAGCATCCAAACACTGAACCTGCTGCCGTGTGAACAGGCTCATGTTAAAAGCCTGCCCTTAAACACAGCTGTTCAGAAATGTGCAGGTACATTTTAGTGTGTCCAGTTTTTTCTTTCTCTTAATTTTCTCCCAGTTGGCCTGTGTCTCTCGGGCATTTGTTCTAGGCCTTTCCGTGTGGCAGAGCGGTTCCATTAGGGTCTATATTTCTTCTATTCCCATTGCGTTTCAAAGCAGAATGCAGAATCTGGCAGATTGATAATCCAGTCGTAGCTTTGACGTCAATTTTCTGTAGTTCTTCAGAGAATTTCCCACAAACGAGATTAGTGCAAATTAGTGCAGAATTCAGGAGAACTCTTCTGTTCCTCCCCTCCCATCTGTTCTTCTTTACCACTTGGAATTGAATTTTCTTAAAATAACAATTACAACAACATCTTGAGATGTCTCGGCAACCTGGTAACTGCAAGAATAATTATATATTACTCCTTGCTTTTGATAGAGCATCTTATCACGTCTTCGAGACGTCTCAAAGTGCTTCACAGAATGCACTGTGAAATGATTGACTGTATATTTTGCGGGAGAAACGTGGCAGCCAATTGCACACAACAGCGTCCCATAAACAGTCATGGATTGAGCGACCAAATTATTATTTTTTGTGTGTATGATTATAACTTGGATTTATATAGTCCCCTTCACGTTGTTGAGTGCCAGGAGACTCTTATTTAAGAATTTGTCGAATTCTAAAGTAAACTCTGAAGTGCTACATCGACAGAGTAAATATGGACCCAGGTGGAATTTCTACCCAATAGTTGATGATGTGAAATCCTCCTTAAAAAAAGCTGCACTTTTCACCCGAAAAAAGTACAAACAATTCATTTTACATCATATTCTGTGAAGCGCTTTGAGACGACTCAAAGACGTGATAAGGCGCTGTATCAAATGCAAGGATTATTCTTTTATATCTATGCTTCATTGTGTGTTCTCTTTAAGTATTTTTTATTTAATGCTTCATGAAATATTATTACCTTTTTAGTCTATGAGCAGAGATAAGACCGTGAAGGATGTTCTACAGAAGCATTTCAATTCCAGTAAAGATTTCCGTTCCCTACACATGCTGTTGGTAAGAGGCCATTAACAAATCTACTGATTTTCAGGAATGAGACTACAATTATCAGTGCTGCACAACAGAAAATTACTTCCAATAACAACAACAACAAAATGACATTTGTATAGTGCCTTTCACGTTGGGAGGACGTCCCAAGGCGCTGGACAGTCAGAGTTTCAGACCCGAGCTGGGGTTTGGGATTGGAGTGGGTGAAGGGCGGGGAGGGGAAAGCAGGGAAATCGAAAGTACGGTCGAAGAGGAGTGTCTTGAGACAGATCTTGAAGGAGGCAAGGGAGGTGGCAAGGCGGAGGGACTGCAGGATGGAGTTCTTGAGGGTGGGGGCAGAGTGGCAGAGGGCCTGCCCACCAATGGTGGGGCGGGCGAGGCGGGGGACGTGAAGCCGGCCGAACCCCGCTGAGCAGAGGGAGCGGGCAGGGTGGGCGGGGCTTAGGAGGTTCCAGAGGTAGGGGGGAGCAAGACCGTGGAGGGCTTTGAAGGTGAGGATCAGCATCTTGAACTGTATTCTCTGTGTGATGGGAAGCCAGTGGAGTTGGGTGAGGATGGGGCGATAGGGTCATGGAGCCTAGTACGGGAGAGAACACGGGCTGCGAAGTTCTGGATAATCTGCAGCCTATGGAGGGAGGAGTTGGGGAGGCCGACAAGCAGGGAGTTAGCATAGTCAAGCCTCGATGTTATGAATACGTGTATGAGGGTTTCGACGACCTGCGGTGTGAGACAGCGGCAGAGTCGGGCGATGTTGCGGAGGTGGGGAAGGCAGAGCGGGTCATGGCACGGATGTGGGGTAGAAAGGATATAATAATTAAAGCAGTTTTGTTTCTGGGAGGGACGGATAGAACACAGAACCTTCTTACTGCTTACAGCCTTGATTCCATGATCCGCAAATGAATTACTTTGTGCTTTGGGTTCTTTAGATAACAAGGGCATTTTTAAAAAATGTTTGTCACCACCACAGATTCTGTTAATGGCAATGGGAAAGTGCTGACCATTTGGAAGCACACTGAGTGTGACTATCTCCCTCCCTCCTCCTCCTCCTCCTCCTCCTCAGTTTTACAATAACTGTACTGCACAATTGCCACGATGGTTCAGAGTGCTTCAGGACGTCGGAAAATTTATTCAATTCAATAAAAAATGTACAAAACACAGAACAAAGCCTGCAACGTTTCAGCGGTTCATGTGTACTTCACACTCGGATCCCATTGCCGTTCTAAGCAAGAAGTGCATGGGCTGAGCCTGAAGTTGGGGGGTGGTGGGGGGGGGGGGGTGGGGGAGAGGCAAGAGGTGTGGATCCTTCCTGCTGTTTGCTCGTGACATCTGCTGCCCCACAGGCAAAATGACTCTCAGACACTAGATGATCACAGAGTGGCTAGATCCCCACACACAGCCACATCTAGAAACTACAACCCTCCCATGCCAGGTGCCTACCGAAACCTCTCACCTTACTGCCAACGAGCACTGGCCCTTATAAACTATCATGTAAGAAACCTTTGTATTATACTGGTGTATTTGCGAGTATCTTGGGTTGTTTTCATGTGCCAAGAATTAGTCAACGACGCTTGACCCTCAAAGATATTCAGTGCTTAAGGCAACGTGGGCTGTTCTTGCGAGCAGAGTAATGGGTAGTCGTAAGGAAATGGAAGGCACAAATCATATTCTCGGCTCTTTCAAAGGGTCGTAAAACCACTGGGATACCTTACAGAGCAGTAAATTCTCACTGACTTTCAATTTATAACCCACCTTCTAGGGCACTCCAATGGCATATTATTGTGACTAGTTTGTTTCTTTGTTGATGTTAAATCTTTTCTGCTGTTGATGCGTGTTCATTCTGCCACCTTTAACCTTGACATGCTGATCAAACACTGTCCTCGTTCAGAGTTAAGGGCGTTTTTTTTGCTTCAACGTTCCATCAGTAGCCGTGCAAAAAAATAACCCCACCTTTTCTATGCTGATGTAGAAATATTTGTCATTTGGGTTTGTAGTGCTGAATTGTTTAATCTAATTATTTTATTAGAGACGTATTTTAACTATTTTTCTTTCAGATGCTCGCACTGAATCACGTGACTGTCTCTAACCCACACATCCGACCAACAGATCTTCTCGATGCCAGCAGAACATGCACCATGGACTCGAAAGCTAATATACTGCACGGTAGGAAGAGCACAGTCCTGTTTAGATAATGCAGATGCGATAGGATAACAATACCACACATCCCAAGCAATAGAAACTTAGCATAAATATTGCACGAGATGACTTCATGCTGACACTCTGGGTGCCGTACTGGTGGAAGGGAAGCAGGGGAATTGGAATCGACTCGGAACGATTGCTCTGTCTGTATGTCTCTGTGTGGTTGGGTACATGGTGGCTTTGCTTACCTTTTACATTACAAGTTCACTGTAAGAGAAAAAAAATCGGGTTGACTGAGCCAACCTCTGGGAGGCAGGCAGTCCCCACGCTAATAAAGCCACAATTTTGACATTGCTGCTGCTTTTTATTCGTTGATTGATATTGGTCAGAGGGACGGGAAGAGCCCGCATTCTGTGTAATATATAATAAATGTTCTGGGAGTTTTAAACTGAACATCATAAAAATCTACAGCAAGATAAAGACGATTGCGTTCCCTGATGTAATGCATGTTACCGTTGACATATTAGTGAACTGCGAAAAATCCTGTATCCTGATTGTTAGAATATCTTGTGAGCAAAGTGGGGTGTGCACTCTATATTTTTGCTCATCTAAAATGCAGTTGCACTAAAGCATAATCTGCGCTCCCTGTGATGCCTGTAGCTCAGTGGTTAGAGCGCTAGTCTCACAAGCGAGAGACCTGGGTTTGATTCCCAGCCAGGGAGAAATGTGGGGCATGTTTCCTTACGACACACGCAGTTTACCTAGCCGTAAGGAGGAGCTCGGTTGTTAGTCGATTGGTGGATTGCTATTCCGGGGGCAATTCTTAAAAATAAATAAAAATGATTTGGTCACCGAATCCACGACTGTTTGTGGGGACACTGCTGTGCGCAATTGGCCGCCGCATTTCACCCACAAAATATACAGTCAATTCACTTTATAGTATATTCTGTGAAACGCTTTGAGACGTCTCAAAGATGTTATAAGGCGCTATATCAAATGCAAGGATTACTATTATGACTCAGATCTGTTAATAAACGATGCTTCCATCAACCTCTCAAAACTCTGATTATTCTTCACTTATATTGTTGTCCTACTCAACGCTGCTCTTTCAATTCTCTAAATCTCACCGACTATAGCGTTTTGTTCTCTCTTTAAAATCCCACACAATGCAATTCATCAACTTCTATTACGGTTTCAATGCTGAAAGAGTAGTGTAATGCAGGGTTGTAAATTGGATCATTGCCTGGTTGTTTCTGAATGTGTGTTACCAAGACATCTAGTGGGATATGTAAACCGAGCCTTTATTTAGCATCTCGTTCAATGCCAAAGGACTCGGCAGTGCACCTTCACAAATATCCCCACAACAGGGTCACTGCTTCGTTGCAGCTCAAGTTTCTAAACTTAACTCAAACTTACAACACGGGTAGAGTATCTGACACAATAAATCGGTAGGACAATGCCTGGGAGACGCATTTACAGACAAGTGAAGTCCTCGGTCTAGTTTGCTTAATGAGGAACCAGCAGTTAAATATTTTTGTTAAGAAAATGCAAAGAGTTTAATAGAAACAGGACTTAATAGTAATCCTGGCATTTGATACAACGCTTTAGATATTGGGAGAACAACTCAAAGTGCTTCACAAGATTTACTGTGAAGTGTGGTGAGTGTGTATTTTGTGGGCGAACTTCTGTGCTGTAGAGAAGAACCCTTAAAATCGCAATATATATGAATAATAGAATTGCTTTGTGCTTCCCACGGACAGACCTGATAGTTTATTGCAAGATGAAAGTAGAAGTCTCGCAAATGTAGAATTTATACAAACCACATAAATCATCTGTTTTTTTAAAAAAACTTAATTTTGTACTATGTGGATACTTAAAAAAAAAANTGGAATTTCTGATAATGGTGCCAGTGTGTAACTTTAGTAAATTTCATAGAACTTGCCATTGCTCGAGATGTCCTGGTACACAGGGACACACACATGTCTTCACCTCCAAATCTCACTGATGAGCTGGAGGGGCTCGTCATCCAGCAACAGTACCTTAGATTACTGGAAACCTGTGGCTGTGCCAGGCATATCTCGTCAGAACCAGTCAGCTCCAGGAAAGCTTGCTAACGTTCCTGTTAATTGTAACCCGAAGAGCCGCCAGCTGGACAGCTGCGGATGATACAACCGTGTCCGGTCTTCCATTGTCAGTGGAATAGCTGACTGCTATTCAGCCAGAGACATTCAAGAAGCAAAGAAATGAATTAAAATGGTTAAGGTTAGATTATTTGCATTGCATGATCACACACACCTCCCAGATGATTGGAAATGTCTTAAAATTTTTTTTGACATGCCTGTCCCGAGGTGCCCCGTATCCGCTCTCTGGTGGATGGAGTTAAAGATCCCATAACACGACTCGGAAAGAGAAGGGACTTTCTTCCCAGCCAACAATCCTCCAGATTAATGGGTTATTCATCACATGGCTGTTCGAGGGACTTTGTTGTCCTTAAAATAATTCTCTCATTCTCCTACAGAACGGTCACTAGGCTTGCCGTTAATTACTTACTGTAAAATGCTTCAGAACATTTCAATGTGCCATAAATAGGCAAGTTCTTCCAAGAGCTGACTGATTCAGGGCTTCTTAAATATTTTAATGTCTTGAGCTGTTGAGGAGAAGGAAGAAATCTTAAAAATCATCTGCTTCAGTCTGTGGCTTTGTAGGAAGTCGATTAAAATGATCTGAACAAAACTAATTTGGATGTCTGCAAGAAAGGGAGTTAATCACTTTTCTCTGATACAAAGTGTTTTTGTAGTTGTGTGTGTGTGTGTGAAATAGCTCTATAACTTGTCATTTGCTTGGCAAACAATCCTTCAAATAAAATTGGTTGTTCACTTCATCGCTGTTTGTGGGACATTGCTGTGCGCAAATTGGTTGCCATGCTTGCCCACAAATACAGTCACTTCCCTTTACGGTGTATATCCTGTGAAGCCCTCCTGACATGAAAGGCACTATACCACATGCAAGGATTATTAGATTGTTATGTCTTCATTCACCTGATTCAGATGCTGCATAAATTCCACTTGAAATAAATTTGGACGACTACTTTGATTTCACCACCACATAAAAATGTAAGCAGCTGTTAGATGGACTTCGTCTTTGAATTTCTCTTAAAAGAAAAATTAGAACCTTTAATCTATAATACCCTTGCATTTGATATAGCGCCTTATGTTGATGAGACATCTCAAAGCGCTTCACAGAATATCCTGGAAAGTGAATTGACTGTATTTTGTGAGTGAAATTATGTTAAATGTTTAGTGGAAATTAGGTTTTAGATTAAAAAGTACTCTCGCTATTTTCCTTTTTGTTCTTAAGTTTCCCTTTTCCTGACTTTTGATCACATTCTTCCTCCAGCTGTAATGTGTGGGCAAACAGCTCAGTGTCCATCGACTTGCTAGCCAGCTTGTAATTTTGAAATACACTGCTTTGAGTAATGCTTACTGTGCAGAGTTGAAAAGCAACTTTCATTGCAAACTTAATTTTAATATCCAGTCCTGTTTTCCTCAAAGGTCTGTCAGTGCTGGAATTTTGCCTGATCATCGCCATGAAGGACTTGAATTACATTTACGATGGGGAACCGTTTAACTTTCAGATGGTTTACAATGGTGAGTTGTATTTTAGTTTTCTTAATAAACTGAAAGATATCTTGAATAGGATGTGTAGGATCCAGATTTGGCTTTTGTTGAAGAAATTATCCTCTGGAGTAAGCACAGAGTGGTACCTGTTATTTACTTATATATATATATATATATATAGGTAGCTGTGTTTGTCTGTGCTGATTGAACTGATGCCTGCGCGGGCTACAGTTAATTTATTTAGTGCTCTAATCTGAATGGGGTCGAAATCAGCCAATGTTCTCCATTTCTGGTCTACGAGCAAAGATTAGACAAAATGGGGTACTTCAGTCTTGAGAGAAGAGGATTCCGGGGGCACCCAATACAGGTGTTTAACATTTGAAATGGGATTTAAAAAATTATAAACCCAGAACAATACAGAGTGAAAGAGAACTTGGGTTTTGAGTTGTAAAGGACAATTTCAGGCCAGATATCAGGAATTTTTTTTCAAATTCCCAATTAATGATTAATAATCGGAACTGATTGTCAGGAAGGATGGTTGAGGCCAAGTCATTGGACTTGTTTTTTTTTAAAAAAGCAGCTTGTTGGAGGACGGTAGAGTGGGTATGAGATCAGACGGGCTGAACCAGTCTGGTAGAAAGGGTGGACACCTGGCGAGGGTAGGATCTGGATTGGTTTTAATGCCCTCCATGGTGAAATAGCCTCTTGCATTTCAGATAGCAGCTTTGATTGTTAAATAGCAGCTGCAGGAACTTTTCCTTCCCTTCTGCTCCACACACAGGGCCTGAATTCCATTTCTGGCAAAGCTCAGTTTGCAAAGGGACATAGATACGGGGGGCGTAGGCCATTCTATAAGATCTGTGCCTCAATTCCAATTACCCACCCTGGCCCCCATCTCCCTTGATACCTTGACCTAATATATCTGTCCATCTCAGTCTTGTAAATTTGAATGGATTCAGCATCCACAGCCTATTGGGGGAAGAGTATTGCACTTAAATGTCTGAATGTCTATTTTACTTATTCGTTTCAGCAGTCACTGAATAAATATTGATTAGGACATTTGAATCTATTCCTGGTGCAATGGCATTTGCCGTGTGCAATGAGGAGGAAATATTAAACAAACCACGACAGAGACCTTAAGATTATTTATTCACCAAAATGAACGAGAGCTGTTTCATACTGAGTTTAAAATGTGTATTGCGCTCAACTCTCACCCATTAAGCTGTATTAAAGAACAAATAAAAATAGCTTGTAATCATATTTTAATATGCTGTGAAACATGGCCATATAATAATAATCCTTGCAGTTGATAGAGCGCCTTATCATGTCTTCAAGTCGTCTCAAAGCGCTTCATAGTATATACTGTAAAGTGAATTGACTATATTTTGTGGGTGAAACATGGCATATACTTAATATTTTACAGAATTTCAGAAGTTTGTTCAGAGGAAGGCTCATTCTGTGCACAACTTTGAGAAACCAGTAGTCTTGAAGGTAAGACCTTACAACCGTACTGCCCAGGCTTCTCTCTGCTCCCTGGCTGACCCACCTCACCAGTGGTGAGTGAACTATCACCTCAGACACAAGGACTGTTTTCGCTTCTTTTTACTGCTTCCATCCGTTGTCTGCTGAACTGTTACACTTTCTCACTTTCCCCATCTACACATGCTTTTTCTTTCAGGGGCATCTGTTCAGCTAACTTCTCTCTGCTTCCCACTTACTTCTCTTGTGTCTACTTTCCAACCACTTCTATTCGCGTCTGTAGTGTTGCCTCCTTGTCCACCCTTTCTTCCATAATGGGAGGAGATGAGTGGAGACCAAATAGAATGCATCTGAATGCAGTGCCACAATCGGTAACTTGTTTTCCTGATGCAGTTTTCACATTTATATCATGTCCATAATTCTTGCCTTGTTACTGAGTTTGCTATAAACATAACTGCATGTAGAATAATATAGTAATAATCCTTGCATTTGATATAACTTTATCATGTCGTTGAGACATCTAAGCGCTTCAGATTATACTGTAAAGCAGATTGACTATACTTTGTGGGTGAAATGTGGCAGCCAATTACTACAGAATTCTTTTGCTTCCTTTAAGGCCTTTGAACATCTGCATCAACTGGAATTGATTAAACCATTGGAGGGACCAATGGTCCGAGCACAAAAGGAATACCAACTGATGAAATTGCTGCTAGACAGTAGCCAGGTAATGGATGCACTGCACAAGTACCCACAGTGCCCAACTGATGTCAGGCAGTGGGCAGTATCATCTTTGGAATGACCGAGTGCGGAGTTTGGATTTCAGTTGCTCAGAAGAAAATATATTTTGGTGTTTGCTGGTGGATTCCCATTACACAAAACTATGCAAAGAAAGTTTTGAGTTATTACAAATCACTGAATAATAGAAAGTCATCCATTCAGATTTCACAATGGTGCCAGGGAAACCTGGTCTTTTATTAGACATTTTTTGGAGGTTTCTTGTTTTAGGCAGGAGCTGTGTCACAATATGGTTCATCAAAAGCCACTCCTCTGCTCCATCTCAGGAATTATTTGTATTTTGAATAAGCCCATATTGGTAGGTTCTGAACCTAGAGGGTTTTCAAGAGATTTCTTCTGCATTTACTTTTTCATGTTGGCAAATATTTACAAAACATTCCTTCCAAAAGACTACCCTGGCAATGTCTGACCTGCAGGTATTTTCACACAGTATTTAATGGAGCTGTTAATGTTAAGCAGAGTGTCCCTAATTGAACTTGTGTAACTGGAAAAAAAGGGTTTCTGTATCCTCACCAATATTATGTAAACATGTCAGATTCATGCTGTATAAAACTAAATTTTCTATTAAAAGTATTACAGAAATGCTGTGAGTAGTTCATATGTACTAATTAAAAATAATGGTACACAGCATGAGGATTGCTGAAGCCGTTGCAAATGGCTCCTTGTGTTGTCTGTTGCAGTTGACAGTAATTACCTGTGATTTGCTTTGAGACAAGGATGTGATAAGGCACCATTTATAAAGTTTGTTTAATGCCTAATCCTTTCCCAGTGCAATTGTGGAATTATTACATTTCAGGATTTTGTGATGTCGATTGTCCTCTGGGACCAGAGTTAGAAATGAGATCAAGGATTTCTAGTTCAGAATAGTAATATTAGGAAGTGAAGAATCCCTGAACTTGTCTGTTCAGTTTCTAACTTGGGTTAGAAGAGCCATTGCCTCGCAAACGAGAGGTTTGATTCCGTGTTTACTTAGTGGTAAATAAGAACCCGGTTGTTAGTCAATTGGCTGATCGCTTTCCAGGGGGAATAATCTCTCAACAAAATAATGCTACCGTGTTTCACCCACAAAATATTCTGTGAAGCGTTTAGACATCTTAATGAAGTGGTAAGGCACTATATTGTGCTTACGGCACCTCTCCTCTGTCTCTCCCCCTGGGGTCAAGCGTGCCAGGCTGCTACCCTGTGTGAAGGGCGCTATATAAATGCAATTTGTTATTTTATCAAAATAAGGATTATTATAATAGGTTGGAAGTGACGATGCTGATAGTTTAGTAAACAAACCCAAACTCTTTTCTTCAGGGTGATAGCCCCATAAAAACAAGACCAACCTCACAGCAAAGAATGAGAAAAGAATCGTGTGATTTATAAACTTCCAGTAAGTCTTTGACTTCCCGCACTGATTTGGTACCAACACCAACAATTCCGTTACTCAGCCACACAAGAAACTTGTGCTTTGTGAATCCAGTCTGTGTTGGAGCTGGACAACTGGAGGAACAAAACATTGGTGTCCCGGTTCACACTTGCCCTTTGCTGTCGAGCCCTCAGCACAGTTTGAAACCAACCGTGTAGAGAAGTGACCATGTAGAGTATTTCCACAGGAACAGCACACACACACACACAACTGCCAAAAAACACAAAAATAGTGCTCTAGTACTAAGTCTTTGAACCCATACAGTTCAATGAGTGAGAAACCACAATGTTAACCACAGCTTAGCAGTAAGTAGGAACCCAGCCGTTAGTCAATTGGCAGATCGCTTTTCCAGCGTTAATAATTCCTTCAAAAAAATCTTAACAAATTGGTCACTTCAATCCACCACTGTTTGGGTCACTGCTGTGTGCAATTTGCTGCCACGTTTTGTCCACAAAATACAGTCAATTTACTTTGCAGTATATTCTGCAAAATTTTGAGTCGTCTTGAAGACGTGATAATGCTCTGTATCGTATACAAGGATGAGATTGTTATTGTGCCACCGCAGGCAGTTTACGTTTCCTGCCACCGCTTGCTGCAGGAAACGAGGAGAAAACTGGTGGGTGGGTGGGTCTCAACATCTCCAGGGTTAACATCAAGCAGCACTGTTACTGGGTGGCAGTAGTGTCCAGGTAAATGCACTTTGCAAGATCCAGGCTTGTCCATTCAGCTTGCGAGCCACCACAGAGAAAATGGGAACCGAAAACACGAGCTCAAGAGAGGTGTGGATGAAGAACAGCACTTCGATCCACTTGAGCTCATCCTTCCAGAATACTCAGCCTACTTTCCTAATCCCATTACACAATCCAGATTTATTTTTTTCCCCAAAACAAGTCCCAAGAACGTTGCCCTCAAACTGCAAAAGAAAAGTTTGAGAGAAGTGGAATTGAAACAGAACAAGTTTTTAAAATCCCGGATTCGAAAGAACAAATAAACTTTCTGATGGAAACGCATTTGCAACGCTTTGTGGCACTCACCTGAACACATCTGCTCACCAGATAAACAGAGGAACAGATGGTAACTGTCTAACAGATCAGACCGTGAAAGATCTTGCAGAGCCAAGCAGAGTATATGGTATCACTTGGCACAAAAGCATCCTGTCATTACATTGATGCATGGCGTGTGCGTGTATAAGGGAGGGGAGAGATGAGTTAGCACATCATTGCTTTTCTGTTGTGCTTTTATATGCCAACCACAACCATGTGTTTTTCTCTGCGGTTTTGGTAACAGATGTCTCCACGATTAGCATCTGTGATTGGACAATGGTGAGTGCAATTAAAATGAACCATGTTTTTCTTCCGAAACCTCTCTCCCCACCCCCCCGCCCCCGCCATGAAATTCCTCATTTTCCAAAGTGTCGCCAAGGCAGCAAAGCTAAAATGACTATATGGGCCCAAAGCACTTCACGGGTCCCATTAAAATTCAGCTGTTTTCACTTACAAGATCTCTTCCTCTTTACCTTTCGTGCTAATGAGGGAAAAAAGACTTAGCAAATATCATTTGGTACACTGCCTGAGATGCTAATCCGTTTTAAATTTGTCAACAGTAAATTTGAATTGAATCGACTCCCGATTGCGTATTTTGGCAACCTTTCCAATTCAATCATTTTTGTTACTCCAGCCGGGATAGAACTTTATAAGCTTTTTTAAAAAAATATTGCTAACCTTGGGCAAGTTTCCTTACTCCACACGCCTAGTCGATTGGCGGATCGCTCTTCCGGGTGTAATAATCCCTTCGCAAATAAAATGGACTCATTTCGTGTTTGTGGGACACTCCATTATTAGCATCTGTGCGCAATTGGCTGCTGCGTTTTACCCACAAAATATAGTCAATTCACTTTACAGTATATTCTGTGAAGTGCTTTGAGGCATCTCGAAGATGTGATAAGGTGCTATATCAAATGTAAGGATTATTATCATTACACCTTGCATCCAGATCCTGAAAAGGTTTGGCCTGAGCGTTAAATCTGGTTCATCCAAGGCCCAGCCACGTTTTTCATGAAACGATTCTGTGATCTGTACCAGCCTTATATAATGTGATGCAAACTAAAATTCAGAGTGATCTAAACAGCAAGCCTCTTAGAGGTTATCACACAAGTTATTGCAAGAATACTGCACACCAAGGAGCTGCTACACTGGAGTACATTAATTACTACCAAAACTGAAATAATCTGTGAAGTGCTTGGAGACATTTCAACAACGTAAGGCGCTATACCAAATGCAAGTATTATTATTATGTAATGTCAATCACCAACATGGGGGGAGAGGGGCTGAAGTTTGGGACGTGACTCTATTATAGTTAGACAAAAATAACTATTTTAGTTTATAGAGTAAAAGGGGCAGACATCAAGAATATACAAACTGTTGGAAGCAATTAGGACAGTTTACAATCCTGGAATCTGTGGTGGAATTAATGTCGAAAGGTTGTTCTGGTTGTCAGTGGAGATTGACAAAGGTCAGGGTCATAACATAACATATAGGAGCAGGACTAGGCCATTCGGCCCTTCGAGCCTGCCCCGCCATTCAATCATGGCTGATCTTCTAATCTAACTCCAGCTAATAACCTAATCCTCCCTTATCCCCATATCCCTTTTGCAATAAGAAATCTTATCTATCTCAGTCTTGAATATGTTCAAGGACTGAGCGTCACCACCCTTTGAGTGAAGAAGTTCTTCCTCAACTCAGTGCGAAAGGGTTGGCCTCTGATTTTAAGGTTGTGACCCCTGGTCTTAGTTTCTCCAACCGGGGGAAACAATCTCCCACTATCTACTCTATCATGCCCTTTGATGATCTTATAGGTTTCTATAAGATCCCCTCTAATTCTTCTATATTCCAGAGAATATAGGCCCAAATTGGTCAGCTTATCCTCGTAACTCATCCCCTTCATCCCTGGTACTGACCTAGTAAATCTACGCTGCACCCCCTCCAAGGCAAGTACATCCTTCCTTAAATAAGGAGACCACAACTGCATCCAGTATTCCAGGGGTGGTCTCACCAGGGCCCTATACAGTTTCAGCAACACTTCCCTACTCTTATACTCTGATCCTTTCATAATGAATGCTAACATACCGTTCCGAATTGCTGCTGCACCTGCAGACTAACTTTCTGTGATTGGTGTACAAGGACACCCAAGTCCCTCTGGATGTTTTTGCTACCTAGGTGGAGGACTTCGCACTTCCCTACATTATACTTCATCTGCCACCTACCTGCCCAATCACCTAACCTATCTATGTCTCGCTGCATTTTTTTAATGTCGTCCTCTGTGTTGGCACTTCCTCCTAGTTTTGTGTCATCTGCGAATTTAGATATATTAGCTTCAATGTCCTCATCAAGATCGTTGATGTAGATGGTAAATAGCTGAGGCCCAAGGACTGGTCCTTGTGGCACTCCACTACAACAAGAAGAATTCCATTTATAGAGCGCCTTTCACACCTTTCACTAGTCACATCCCACCAATCTGAAAAGGACCCGTTTATCCCTACTATTTGTTTCCTACCAGTTAACCATTCCCCAATCCACGTTAATATGCTCCCGGTGATGTGGGCAAGTTAGAAGCAACATTTTCGTGTTTCCCTTCCAGAAACATAACACATACGGGTTATGCAGGGAATGGGTGGGATTAAATCAGTTAGACCACCCCTAGGTTAACAGATTACAAGTGAAAAGCTCTTCCAACACCCGTGAAATGACACCACTTCCAGAATTACTGCCGCTATGACGGGTCACAAGGTAAGGGGCAATATCGAAGCAAAACCTGATGATGGTACGTATATAAGGCTGGATTTGAAAAGGTTGGACTGCACCTGGTAAGTTCACACACTTGTTCAAACACGAGTTCACGCACAGGAGATGAAAACTCTGAGGCCATGATCTGATAAACTAACAATCTCTCATCGTCTTTCTCACCCTAACCATTTCTTTTCCAATCAGATCTATCGCTAACTGTGAGGTATGGTTATCTCAGGAATATTTTTTTTAAAATCCAATCCACTTATTCAGAATATTTTGAACTTTGGTAAGAGAAACCCACCCCCTCCCCCAAAAAATAATAACCCCACGGTTAGAGATTTGCAATAAATGCATAAAAATCTGAAAACGTTTCAAAAGATGCATAAGTGTTGGCTGACTGTACCCGCAATGTACCACTTAAAAATCAACAGTGCAAACTGGGAACTGATGGCAAAAACATCTATATCGAGGCTGTAAAGCTAACGTTTTAATAAAGTGATGGAATCTTGAGGTAGACTATGAGGAAGAAAAGAAAATAAGACAAACTGTTCCAGTGTTAGAAAATTAATTAAGTTGTGCGTAAATAGGGTCAAGTTTTTGGGTTGTGGAAGGGAATTAATTACCGATTCCCATAATTGTGTAATTAACATCCAATGTGAAGGATTACAGAATCATCTGCAAACCTTTTCACCAGAGATTCCATAATTTAATGCACCTGTAATGCTCCCTGTACGCACGGGGTATCATAAGCCTCAAATTAGATCTTAGTGTGATGTGCGTTGGTTTGAACACAGTAAGGTTGCAGAGAGGAGGGTGCAGGACTAAGCATTGAGAACTTAGAAAGGTTCATTGAAGCAATAAACATTAACATCGATAGAATGGAAGGTTTGGGATGGCGTGAGAGACAGGGAAAAGAATTACCGGTCTGGCGACTAGCGCTTTTGGTTTTAAAAATAGCGAGTGAGGAGATCTGATCTCAAGTCAAATTCATTAACTTTTTCCCTGAGATGTTGGGAGGTCTCAATGAATTGGAATGATTCCCAGACACCCCCTGAAAGTGAATAGAAAGAGCAGCATCTTACAGGGCTGAAGCTCACCAGTTTGAATCCCGCCCTGCGTGCGCTCCCTTTGCTGGACTCAGCTGGTGTTGCATGAGGAAGCTAAATTGGCCCTGGCCCTTTCCAGGGTTAGGGAAGGCAAAATCAGCCGGGATTCCTGCTCCTGGTCCCTCTACGGCTTTTGATTTGTCTGTGGCAGCCAGGTGGGTGGGCCACGGTTAAGTTCAGCAGTGATTCCCTCTATACAGTTGAGTGGCTGACTGACTGACACTCACTGCAGAGGCTCACACTATGTTAGCGTGAAACTCGGACAGGAAGGGGAGGCCAGACCAGTAGCAGAGACGTATACCAGTTGGGAGGAAATTGGACATTTGTTAAAAAAAAAAATCCTTTTTCCTCATCACTGAAAGAGAAGGTGATTAAAGACTTTGTGATCCAACAATCACCAGGGAATGAATGTGGGAGGAGAAGGTGATTGTTCTGAGGAGATACAGTCTTTTCTCCTGCCAGGCAATGGTTGACTGCAGACTGCAAGCTGATGAATGTAGAATTGAGTAAAGGTCATTGATATGGAGAAGGGGGAAAAGCAAACAAAACCCTGGGGCTACAGGTATATACTGCAGCTGGCTTACAGTGCAGCTGGCATGATGGGACCTAAATCTAATTATCTAAAGAGATCATGGATGCTAAATGGCCATTGTTAGGAGTGATTGGGGTAAACCACACTACTTTTCAGTGCAGGTCTTATTCCTTCATGGGAATAGAACATTAGTAATATTTCTGATGCCATTTCAACTGTTAACCACAAGATTCACAAGGCTTATTATTATTATTATTCAATCACCATTTCCTAAGATATTTAAATCTATCACCCAGTGATATTCTGGAAAGGTTAGACTACACAACCATAATTAAACGAGCATAATTAAACTGACATCAATATTATTCAGATGCAGTGCTAACTCTGGGAGGTTGAAAAAAAACGGATAACATTTTTATCTGAAACAAGTACTTTTGCAAACAATGCAGTCACAATGCCAACAAGAATCTCAGTTTATATTAATATTAGCAAACACTCGGTTCTTACCTGCACTTTAGCAGCAACTGCAGGGCAGAGAGGATTAGCCACTAAAGTGACTATCCTCCATATAAGAGTCAATCTAAATTGAACATACACGAGTTAGCACATCTATATTGGGCAAGCTTTTACAAACCATAGTATGGGATAATGACAATCATTATTTAGGTAGTCATAGGCTGAGTGATGACAGCCCAGTGTGGATTTGTTATAGGCAGGCCTTCATTGACAAATCAAATGGGAGTTCTTTGATGAAAGGATCTAGAGAAGAAACAGAAGTAATTTCAGAAAGCTTGAGATAAGATGCCACATTAGATGCTGGTTAAAAGATTAAGGGTTTGGTATTAGTAGAAAGGTGGCAAAATGAATAGAAAGTTGGTTAAAGGATAGAACACAGAGTGGGAGCACATCAATGTGAAAAAGAACACGAGTTCTGACTCCGGATAATAATAATCCTTGCATTTGAATACAGCGCCTTATCACGTCTTCGAGTTGTTTCAAAGCGCTTCACAGAATATACTGTAAAGTGAATTGACTGGGGGAAACGCGGCAGGCAATTAATTGCACACGGCACCGTCCCTTAAACAATCGTGGATTGAGCGACCACATTTTTTTTGACCCTTACTAGTGCATGTGCATCTGAGCATCCTTCGTACATCTACCGACAGTACTCAACACGCACTCGTGGGTCCTTAGTGTTATTCTGGAAAGGTTAGACTACATAGCCATAATTAAATAAGCATAATTAAACTGACATGAATATTGTCTTTTGCCAATACTCTCCGGAATTAGATAACCAGGATGTGTCACTCCGGGAACTTGAGCACGCATTCCATTCTAATAAATATTTCGGGAATTTCCATGTGTAGGTGGGATGCATGGTTTGGATACTCTTAAGCATGGTGATAGGTTTCCGCATGTGTCAGACACTACCCAGCTGACTAAAACAAAATCGTGCACGTAGGGCATCTGAAAGTGAACACTTATTGTATAAGCCGTAAAACTCAAGGTAGTGCATTTAACAAAAACATAAACCACGTACAGTACCAAACTTTAAAAATCTTCAAACAAAATACGAGCAAATATACTCCATTTCATGTATAGAATGCATGTCATACAGCAGTCACTATACAGTTTATTCTTAGGGGAACAGCAAAAGTTTCTGTACAATATTTAACAATCTTATCCATCTATCCAGGCCTCTCCCTGGGGCCTCTGTTTGCTAGGTATTTGTAGAAATTGCCAAGTACATATCCAGTATTACAGTAATTTGTGCCCACAAATGCACAGAACATTGATACAGACTAAAGCAAACATAGCTTAGAGGTATGTGTATCAAACAAACTGCTTTAAGAACTCCCTGGTGGTAAGTTCTGAGGTAAGCAATGCTTAATATAGAGTATATTTTGTATCATTCCGTCCAACAGACCCATCTTGCGAGTGGCCACTTGTTATAGACAATTCAGTAGAAATGGTCATTGTATTGCATCATAAACTCGAATTGTACTTCAGAGCAAACATGTCTACCCTACAAAATGCAGGCAGCAAACGGAGTTCAAATCTACCAAAGAATAATTTTGGTAATAGTTTAAAATTTGACATTACAACGAACAGTTTGTTCTCGGGAAGAAATGATACAAACCACACTTTATATAGTACAAGTATTTCAACAGAGAAGATTCCTCTGGCTGTAATGAACCTGTGTTTTTGAGACAGACACCAACTGACGGTTTAATCTGAAGTTGTACAAGTGGGCATGTTGAAATACATACACCATTGCATTTGCCCTTTCTTCCCTCTCTGCTTGGAGTATGGGGACAGATTTTTTTTTCTTCTTTTAACGTTGCAATTTTCTTGCTCTGAGGCTGTGCATAACAATTAGTGTTTTTTTTCTCCAGTCTATTAAAAGATCTGTCATTTTCATAAGCAAGCACTTCACATATGCATAAAACATTCATTCACAGTGAGTTCCTGATTTGCAAATGTTTTAAAGCTGCAATATATTCTAGGAGAAATTTAACATGGGGGAGGGGAGGGAAATAATGCAAAAAAAAAACTAAATGAAGTTATTTTGTAGAAAGTAATGCTAATGTTCAATTTTCTTCAGTATTGTTAAAACCACTTTTGGTAAAAATAAATCTGATGCACTGAAAATTGGGTCTAATATTAAACAATTAAAATGTCAACTGAAGTCTGTTAGAAACTTACTTGCACTCTAAGAAAAAAAATTCTGACACCTGAAACTTATCATGAAAAATACCAATTGTAGTGAACCTGAAGGAGAGAGAAGCCAGTGGGGCTAAAAATTCAGGAAGAGATGAGAATAAAGAATACACAAAAGGAATATCAGGAATATTTCGCTCTAAATTACAAATGTGTGCTTCTTATACTTTTTTAGTGGGGTCTTGGAGGAGGCTGCTGAGAACAAATCTGTAAGGAACCTTTTTTCTCAAAAGTTGCTTTCATGATGATATACTGCAGCTTTAACTAATACTTTTTTTTGTCACTATTCTTTTACAATGGGATCCTGACAAAATTAAGAGCTTTAAGTGAACAAGCTCTTCATAACGCAGTCTGTTCGGTCAAACAACTCAACTTTAACTGTAAATCTATTGTAAAATATGAACACTTCAGTGTTGTTAACTATCTCAACCATTTGGCACCTAATCACCATTCACACAGTGTAATTTTACTGGTTTTGTGGTAATCTACACTGCGTTGTTTTGTACTGAAGGATTCAGTTATGTTGTGACAATGCAATGCATGGTTAACACTCGGTTGAAGACAACCAATCCCTAGCCCTAAAGGGTGATCTGAGCAGCACTTATAGTGGTTAGTTTTAATTTAAGTTAGTTCTGCTACAATGTGTAAAACTGTGTATCTGTCTGGGAACAGAAGAAGTCAGTACCAGTCATCTCTACATATATCTATTGCATATATTAAAAATATAAAAACTTATTTCCTTTGTCCTGAAAGCTTTTATAACCTATTCAAATGGCACTACAATTAGTGTAGGTCTGCCACCACAACTCAAAACAGAGAGGGTTTTTAGGGTAACAAATTCCTGAGGTTATGTTGGTACAGTGACAGGTAGAGTAATGACTGCACTTTTGCTAACAGATAAGCAAAATTACTTTACATATGTAATGAAAGGGAAAACTTAAAAATGATATATTACTTTACAAAATAAAAGCATTCAGATTTAAAACACCTCCAGTGTTATTTATATATCGCAAGCTAAAAACAGAAAAGCATGCGTACACCTTCGAATTCTCTATAGACACAGCAAATCTAAAATAAGGAAGTGCTTTCGGAAGCCAATACTGGGGCAAAAGATACTTGCAAAGCCTCACTTAGCAAAGGAGCTATTAGAAACGGACAACTGCATGATAAAAATTATTACAAGTAGCTAGCACAGGAAAACAAGGCAGAAACACTTGAATGGCCATCTCCCATTGGCATAGAAAGGTATAATTTACCTTTTTTTAAAAAATGCAGTAATTTTATACATAAAACTACATTAAGGTCAATTTTCAATTCAAATCTGTTAAGAGTTATCAAACTAAAAGTACTAATATAGTTTATCAAATATGGAAACTGAGGTATACCTTGTTGAGGGAGGTTTATGGTTATAATGTAATGCTTGAAGCTTCTTTGCTATGTCCCATCAAAGAATCTTGATTTGTTTATACATATAACAGCAGCACACTAAACATTCACAACTATGTCATATTGGCATTACAATAGTTCTTTGTGAACGCAAACAGCAAATGCGATAAAAACGAATTGCCCTTTTTTTCTGAAATGAAATGCACTGTCATTAAAAACTAAGTTTTTTTTCTGAAGGACTGAAACATCCTTTTGAGAAGCCACCTGGTTCACTCCAGCTTTGACCGCCCTCATTTTACCAAAGGAAGAACCAACGTCTTTCTATGGCACGTTCTTGAGGACTCGTCTATTTTCCTGCTCAGCTTCACCTATGTCAGAAGAACGTAATACATACTACTTCTTTCAATGTCTCCAGTGAAGCTTATTGAAGTATTGAGTGACCCATGCTATAAACATGTTGTCTTCCAATGCCACCAGCAGTGGTGCACTATGCCTTTTTTATCCACTCGTCTTTCCATTGGCGACCAGTTCTTTAGCGGGTAGAGATACGATACTGAGTTTGTCGTAACCGGTCAATTAAATTCAGCATAGCAGCTCTATTGAGAGTCCAGTGTCTGTCTTATGACCCCTAGAGCCATCATAGGCTGGATTCTTTGGGTGGAAAGTCAACATTTGTTACCATGGTGACTACTGTCACAATGTTATCTGTAGTAATGGTGCTCGTTAGTCTTTGCATCTGAGTGATGCGTTCTGCTACGCAGCAAGCAGATAATCTGGCCTCCGCATCGTGATCCCAGCATTCTTCCGTCGTCTCACACAGCACGGCCATTCCCTGTCAGGGGGGGGGAAAAAAAATTTAATTGATCAGATTGAAATGAAAAGTGTTACACTTCTAAAAGGATTCCACAATACATAAATGAAATCTAATTTGGACTCATCCAATGAATGACAAGTGGGGGATTGGCCCCAACATCAGGCAATGTGGAGTCCTGTAGCTCAGTGCTAACCACTTTGGAAGCGAGAGACCTGAGTTCAATTCCAGGCAGAGGGCGAAACCTTGGGCAAGTTTCCTTACTCCACACAGAGCCTAATAATAATCCCTCCAAATACCAAAAACAATAATAAATTGGTCATTTTCAATCTACGACTGTCTGTGGGACATTGCTGTGCACAATTGGCTGCCGCGTTCGCCCACAAATATACAGTCAATTCACTTTACAGTGTGTTCTGTGAAGCGCTTTGGGACGTCCTCCCGACGTGAAAAGCGCTATATCAAATGCAAGGATTATTATTATTATAATAATGTGGACTAGAAAGTTCCAGGTTCAAACTTTGGTATCACTTGTGTCGTGCTCCCATTGTTAAAGAGGCACCATCATAGACTATTACAGGACAGAAAGAGGCCATTCAGCCCATCATTCCTGTGGCATCCACCCCATTTTAAGGTGTACATAAAGCGAAGAGAGGATTGGTCTCAGCTGTGATGGCTTCCGCACTGAAATAGTCTGCCAGAATTCAGTACCAAGTCTCACAGAAGAATAATGGGCACAGAAAATATTCAACAAATTAAAACAATGCATTAATTCTTCTCATGTAGAGCCAAATACATCTAACGTTTTTTGCCACTTGCTGCATATCCCAACTTAGGCATAATATTATTTCAACTATACCGATTTGTAAATACCATTTTTTTAAAAAAAACTTCAGAAACTGAATAAACTAATAAAATCTGTCCAGTAATGAACACAAGTAATTTTATTTAATCAGCTCTGACCTTTTATGCAAAGGAGCCAAACTGACAGCACTTAAAAGGCTACTACAAATGCCAAAATCCATCTTACTTAAAACTGGAGAAGCAGAATTTGTTTTACTCTAAAAAATACAATGCGTAAAACTTGAAATCAATATGTATCTGGACTTTTGATTGCCCATATAACCTTGTTCCAATTTTCTGAGCATTCGCAATTCACCTTCACCGAATACTTTAATCAAACTGAGGTGTTTCATCTTGTTAATATGATGGAATAGTATACAGATTCTTTGTGTTGCAGCACCTCTGTTGAGCAGAACATACTGCAACAAATCATAAGGTTTGCTGTTCAGAATTGCCCCTCGAAAATAAAAAAAATCCAGAAAGAAAATTTACTCACAGGATGTTTTTGCCAACATTCTCTGAAGAGAGGCCTGATCTTCTTATGCACAACCACATCTTGCATATCCTCAAGAGATGGATGCTGTCCGACTTCCTCTTCAAATGGCAACATATATTCATCCACTGGACCTGCGGGTCAAACACATTAAACAGCATCTCCTCAGTACAGGTTTCAAATATTGATCAAGACAACAGCAAACATTGCCCCTAAAACGTAAGCGTTTCTGCTATTCAGTTTTTTTTAATAAGGTCAGAGGTAGGAAAAATACATGTCGTCTTTAAAAGGGGGGAGTGTATAGAGCATCAAAACACAGAATTCTTTATATTTGTAAGAGACAGAGGACATTGAATGTAAGAGAAAGCAGTTAGTGTTAATCTGTAGAAAGGGTCAGTCATAGGAAGATGTATACCGATGATCACCTTAAACAAAACTGAGATAGGAGTGGACTGTTTTTGAAGTTCGAGAGGAGGATTTTGCCAAAGAAAAGAAAATGTGTACTCTTTAAACTCAAATAGGTTCAAAGACTTTTTCCCTCTCCATTCAGCCAGACCATCTGGGTCATATAGCTAACATGAAACTGACAGTCAAAGCATATTTGGGAGCTTTAACTTTTTAAGTGCTAATCTAATTGCATTTATTTTTAACTCATTTTGGACTACAAAAATTATTGGTTGATGAATGTGGTCAACGAGGCCAGTATATAAATGAAGACTGCCAGTGGGTGCAATCCACCCCACCCCATAAAAAACCTTCTTCAATGGTTAGTCTCAAAACAGTCACTAACTAAGTTTCAGTGTTGCCTAGTTGATTGGATTAAGGCATTGCTAATATATAGTTTGATCTTTGTTTTGAGGGATAGTTTTCTTCAATAAGTATCCACTTTGCTAAAACCTTCTTTAAAAGTGTATTGGGGAGCTAAGCAAATGCAACCTATAATGAAAAATATAATAATTTGGTAACTCAATCCACGAGTTTGTGAGCACTGCTGCGCTCAACTCGCTGCTGCGTTTCACCCACAAAATATACAGTCAATTCACTTTACAGTATATTCTGAAGTGCTTTGAGACGTCTCAATATCAAATGCAAGGATTATAATTATTATTACATTAACCTATTATTAGATGTATTAGAAGCAGGTGGAGGAGTGGAGAAATTGCAATGGGGTACCAAAGAGAAACAGCAGAGAATTCCCACAGCCTTAGAAGCTACAGGAAGTAAATCTAGATGACTCTGCAATTGAATCTTGGTGGACAAGAAACAGAACCTTGGTACGGAGGATAACCGCTAGGAATGTTGCCTCCGTGGTCTCACAGGCAGAAGTGGTACACAAATCAGCATGATGAATATGGTATGTGAACTTGAAATTGACCGACCACCACAAGTAGATAAATGTATTTTGCCGTTGTACGGAAGAAACAAAATATGACCCACCATCTGCAGCTGTGCACCTTGATGCCAACTCCCAGAGTACAAGACCCATCGAGTACATGTCTATCCTTAAGAATGCATCCCTCTGGAAATTTATGGCACCTTCCAGCACCTCTGGAGCCATATACCTTCGAGTGCCCACCTTGGATGAAGGAAAAACAGAAGTTTTTGTGAATTCTGTAAAATGCAAGCTGCCATCTTCAGGTCGTGCCTGAAGATCTTCCTCTTTGACCGTGTTTATGGTCACCTCCCTCCTTCGCCACTGTCAAGCTCTCTGGGATGCAGTGCTGTGTGAGGGGTGCTGTGCAAATGCAAGATGTTGTTTACTGCAGAAATTTCCATCAATCAATCATGGGTGGCAGTGTCAGGATTCTCACGAACATCCAATGCAAAATGACTCTAGATTTTTACCAGAACGTAAGAAAAAAAATGGAACAGGAGAGAATGAAAGAATATGCACAAAAAGGCAATTTTCATTCCCTGCACATTTCAAATTCATCGTACGATTCACGTATGTTCTTGTACAATTCTGATTAAATTGTCACAATCAATGCAAAATCAAGTGGGCGAAAAAAAAAATCATAAAAGTAGCTTGGGAGATTAGAATCTCAATAACTGTGAGACATTTGCAAATAAATTGTGGAGTCCTGTAGCTCAGTGGTTAGAGCACTCGCTTTGCAAGCGAGAGACCAGGCAGAGGGCGAAACCTTGGGCAAGTTTCCTTACTCCACACAGAGCCTAATAATAATCCCTCCAAAACAAAAAAAAACAACAATAAATTGGTCATTTTCAATCTACGACTGTTTGTGGGACATTGCTGTGCGCAATTGGCTGCCACGTTCGCCCACAAATATACAGTCAATTCACTTTACAGTGTGTTCTGTGAAGCGCTTTGGGACGTCCTCCCGACGTGAAAAGCGCTATATCAAATGCAAGGATTATTATTATTATTATTATTAAATAGCCTAGGATGCATTTCAGATGAGGTTTATGGATTAAGGCTTAGCCCAATTTATTTGTGACTTTAAAATCACAAGCAGTACATCAGAATGACTCGAGAATTCTTAAGTTCTCATTTTTCATATGATAATTTCTGGCAACATTTTTGCCGTCTGTACCTGTCCATGAGTGTCGCCAGCTGACTTCCCCGCTTCAAATCTCAAAGCTAGACCAAAGTCTCCGATACAAGCTGTGAGGTTGTTCTTCAGCAGCACATTTTTACTTTTGAAGTCCCTATTGACACAAAGCAGAAATCTTACAAATTAATATCAAGATTTCAAAAATCAAATTGCATTTCTTCAATAACAATAGCAGGACTACCTGTACAGCACTTGTTTTCCATTCCTATATAAAACATTCCTATATAAGGTGTCAGTCAGCGTGGCTCAGTTAGCAACATGTGCCTCTAGGTTCTGTGTGCACACTGGGAGTTTGAACTCAGCCTCTGCTGACACTCCAATGCAGTCCTGTTTGAGGGCTGCAATGTCAGAGGTGCTGTCCTTCGGATGAGATGGAAACCAAGGCCCCATCTATCTATTCAGGCATTTTAAAAGAGAAGGAAATGTCTCCCAGTGACCTTGCCAACCATCACCCAGATAAAACAAAATGACCATTTGCTTCATAGCTCTGTGTGGGGAAATGGGGTTTTACAAATTAGCCACCAATCGCCCAATCTCAAAAATAATCCCTGTTGCAGTAAAGCAGCAGCGTACCTGTGAGCAACAGCAGGTTTGTGCCCATCCTTCAATCTAGGAATATCTTCATGAAGATAAGCAAGGCCTCTGGCCATGCTCTCAGCAATGTGACATAATTCATTCCATGTGATCACATTTGCTTTCAGAAAATCTGAAAGGGAACCCTGGAAAGGTACAGATTAAAAATTAAAGTCCTTTTGCTAAAACTGATTTACGCACGACTCTTTTTCTTTGGGATCATTTACTTTTCTAATATTCTTACTAGCATTATCCACCTACATTATGCATCTTTTTAAAGGACTCTAGATATTCCTTAGCACACAAATATATATAAAAAAGTTATATTCAACAAAAAAACATGGGGCTGTTTTGGAAACAAAAAGTCCACAGCGTTTTGATTAATTCCTCAAATGTGTTCTATGCATCAACTCACATATTACTGTTTAACATTTTTAAGCACTCTGAGATGTACTGAGGGGCGCAACACAAATGCAAGCTGTTGTTGAAGTAGTCTTTATTTTTGCGGTGACATTATAATGGCCTACAAAACTTTTACTGAAGTCAGGATTAAACAATAAGTGATTTCAGAAGCTGAGTTTTCCCTCTACAGTCTGGGCTACAGTCCTCAAATCTATTTTACCTTTTCATGGAAGGTAGTTATCAACCACAGCTCCACATCAATATTTGTGCCTCGTTTCTCTGCACCAAGGAAATTCAAAATATTGTCATGTTTCATTCCAGGTAGAGTGAAGATTTCATATTCGTTTTGCCAAGATTGTTTGTCCTACAAACAAAAGGTAGAAAACAATGCAACAGATCAATGTGGGGATCAAGCTTTACTGAGCAAAGCACTTTACTTTAATAGAACCACAATATTGTAAAATACCTTTATATTAAATTGCCCAACAATATTATGTAGAAACGTAATATTCAGATCCTAAACATCAAACATTTGACCAAAGTGCTGTGACTTACACCCAGCTTTTTGCTCCTTTGCTGCTTCAACCCAACAGGTGATAAACAAGTGGTGTGTGTGTGTGTGTGCGCGCGCGCGCGCGCGTGCGTAAGAAGAAATCTCAGACTTTTTCTGAGTTTTTAGATGCTGCCTTCCGAACAAACTACATAAACTGAAAAAGAAATAACTGTTAGCATGAGGTTACCTCCAGTAAAGGGGAAGCAATTATAGCTAAGCAACATTAGCAGTAGCAGAGATACTCTCCTAAAAAGGCACATAGAAAACCCTTCGCTGTGTTCGCACAAATAAAATTGTGTGCACCTGACTGGCGCGATTCACCCGCAAAATACAATCTACTCTACAGTTTATCCTACGAAGAATTTTGACACGTTTTAACTATTTGATAAGGCACTTTTATCAAATGCACGGATTATTACGGAGACCGCCTTCGTCGTTTGCATTGAAGCAACGTCGAGTGAAACGCATATTCACACAAATTGACAACAGGGGGAAAAAAAATGAGGAATGGGAAGAAAAAAGTAACAACAAGCACTGTACTGTACCTGAACTGGGAATATTTTGACGGCCACATAGTCATTGAGCAGCTGGGCCTTCCACACGCAACCAAAGCGCCCCCTGGCTTTGATCTCCAGTAACTGCAGTGGTTTCAGACCAAGTATGGGAGAAGGTGGAGGTGGCCCGGGGTCCTGTAAAGAGTTAAAATAATTCTGGATGAGAAGCTCGTCAAAAAAAAAAAATCTTGCGTTTAATCTACGAGGAAGAAAAGGTCATCCAACCCCATTGTTGCAAAAATCTCTATTCCACATTTCCTTTCTGATAAGCATTTTGGAAAAAAAAATCATGAAAATTCAAAACGGGTCGAAACGTGTTTTTTTTTGAAAATCCAAGATAAAGGCCGACCCACCAAATGTTATGTCCTATGGAGAATAATTCTAGAACTTGACATTGGGGGGGGGGGAGAAAGCAAGTGAATAGTTATACAATACAATTTTAGGTTTAATGTAACACCTTGCAAGTCAGTAGGACACCCGAAAGTGCTCAACAATGCTGACTGGGCACCTGAGCCATACTATATTATTACGCAATACAAAATTACATTTGTATAGACCCTTTCATGTCTGGAGGACGTCCCAAGGTGCGGGACGGTAGGCATTTGGACTATACATCTGGCAATGGATATTTTGGGCTCTAAATTTTTTTTTTTTTATAAATCAACTGTACATAAGGCAATTTGCATTTACGTGCAGCTTCTTTCGTTGTAAACCTGGAGCTGAGAATATTTCATTAGCGCAATAATTTCAAAATGGAATACAAATTTCAAATTTTTTTTTGACAGAAGTAATGGTGTTTCAGCCTGACACTCGCGGATACAAAAACGCTGTGCTCTCAAACTGGAAAGCAAACAGCAACCATCAGAATATGCTCTGCAAATACATGTCTCATCATTGATATCTAATAATACAAAAATTCTCCCCCTGCAATTGGTTGGGGTGAGAAGAGAAAGCTACAAGAAATGGTGAGTGAGTGCTTTCTGTGAATCAAAAGTCCTCAGCCTTCTTTTAAGCTAACAGTTGTCATGAGGTCCAGAAGCAAGTCTTTTGCAGCTAAGAAACCTGGCTAGAACAAGCTTTATTAAAATATTGTTGAGCAAAAACATCCGAAAATGGTAGAGTTAGCAGAAAGCTGCCCAACAATCACCTAAATCAAATTTTTAAAACAAAATCCAGCACCTCAACAAAAATCTAACACCTAAGGTTTGCAAAATTCATGAAGCTACACTGAATAAAGGTGTGTTATAACAGTAATGGAAGACTGAAGGAAATGTATGAATCCATAAGTGAAAGAAAATGTTGCACATAAAGCATGAACACTGGTGGAATGCTACATACAGGTGCACACAAATATTCCTTTGAGGGGACTTGCAAACTAGGTTGTGGTGCTTGCTGGCAATGGTTGACAACTGTCCAAAGACCGTCTAGTCTACCTGGACCAGTGCCCCAAACTGTGGAGAGACACTAATGGAAGACTGAGGTAGTGGATGAATGTTACACCTAACATGCATCTGTATAAAATGTTTTCATTTTGGGAGGGGGCCCTGACGGGATAAATGACGTTTGTACAGAGGAGCTGATAGCATTCTGGAAAATTCGCCCACAAATATACAGTCAATTCACTTTACAGCATATTCTGTGAAGCACTTTGAGACGTCGAGAAGACGTGAAAAGCGTTATATCAAATGCAAGGATTATTATTATTAACAGTTGATCTTTCAGCATCGATGCGGTTTCCCCATTTCAGGTATTTATTTAATTTCTCAGAAGTTGATCCCTCGTATCGCAACAAATATTACACTTATCTATGTTATTCACTTGGTAAACAACACAGACAACGATCAGGCCCGTCAGTAATGCTGTAGACCAGACTACACTTGGTACAATTAAATGTTTTAAACTGCAGTAAACCTTTTTGTATAGCGATGACATTGGCAAAATCTTTTTGTGGCTCTTTTAAAAATTAAGTATACATTATTTTCAACAAACAGACAATTTTTTTAAAAAGCAAAGGAGCATTAAATATTGTGCACTTACTATCAATGCCTACATTTAAAAACTGTAAACAATATATATTTATATCTCTAAACAAATTTATTTACAACAGGATTAAATACAATGACAAAACAAACTTTTGGAGAGGATTCAACTAAAATCTGGGAACCAAATGTCGTTCCAGCTTGTGCATTCACATTTTCAGCTGCAAGAACACAAGCATCAGTGTTTGTAAGGATGTCAAAGTTTAAGTGTCATCTACAATCAGTTTTCATTGATGGACTCAACCTCAAGTGAAATGTAGATAATGCAGAATTAAAGGGGAAAAAGGGGAGAGAAATTCTCTCTTGAAACATTGGCATGAAAAATGAGTGAACCCTCTAGATAATCTGATATTCCAAACCTGAAGAGTTACGAGTTAATTAAATTTATCTTACCTCTATCTCTATATGAAAGGCATGCTTGAGAAAGGAAAAGCAAAAGAAATTACTGTTTGCGCAAAGCATGGAGTCAAAACAGATAAAGCATTTCAGTGAATGATAAATGTTCTCAGAAGAATACTGATGCATTTTTTTTTAATCTGCCATCTGATTCCTGGAATTGGCATTAGCTCGTGTGCAGAGCTTATTTCAACATCTGCAATATGACGAACACCATTGCTGCATTGTTGATACAGATTGCAGTACTGTATGAATACCATAATACTTAGTACTGAAAATCGATGCAAACTAAACACAGATTGAATGGAGTGAAAATGAGCTCAATGGTCAAAATTTCAAGCAAAATCAGAAATAAAAATAAGTCTGTATGGCTATTAGAGTATCTCAAATTATAGTATTTCATTCAGGATATAATGCCAGTTTTTTGAACAAAATATTAATTGAAATTAACTTCTCATCTTATTTCCTTGGCATCTCCCCCTCCAACAAAAAAATTAGAGGGTTATTCAATTATTAAGTTTGAGAATCCCCCCAGACTTTCAATTTTGATGTTCAAAACTTCTACTTAATACTGACTTAGAAATAATACATTCCACTATCTACAACTCACAAATGAAAAGAAAAAAAACAAAAAGCTTAATACTCGATTCAGACAGCTGAAAGAATTATGGTGACAATATACGGCAAGTGATTTATCTGTAGCACTGTAAAAAAAAAAGAGAATCCAGGTGACTTTAAAACAACTTTTCAGCTGCGTGTTAATTTGAGTCTTTCACGTGGTCAAAGCCGCAAATGTTGCGTACTCAACTTTCAAGGGATTCCAAAAGAGACTTTTCAAAGGAAAAAGTAATTCAAGGAATTTACAGATTATGGATTAAAGATGTTCACTTAGTGTAAAGTTGAAGAAAATCATAATTTCTTCACAATATTACTTATTGATAAAAGTAATCCAGAGACAAGTTGCTGAACGGTTATTCTACAGAGCTCACTGAGGAGGATGCATTCAATGTACATTGCTTAGTAGTAAATGGTTTCCATAAGGATCCTCTAAGTATTAATCTTCTGAGAAGCTACTCGCTCCAGTTTCCAAACCAATTTGGAGGTGAACATTTTCACTTTGTTCCTACAACAGTCAAAACTCTGTGGAGGCGGAAATTAATCCTTGTATTTAACGTTGAGCCTATAACATCAGAATGTCTAAAAGCATTTCGCAGATAACCATCGTGAGTCGCGGCTGTGCATTTGTAGGCAAAGGTGCCAGCCAACACCTGCACATTTTGGTCTCACAACCAGCCGTGAAGTGAATGACCGATTTATCCAGAGGAATGCTGCCTTGACACTTGAACGAGACTCCTCTCTCTTTTCTAACAGTGTGACGGGGTATTTAACATCCACCAGAAAAGGTAAAGTGGTTCATAAATAAGAGATAGAGACAGTCTGAACTGGAGTGGCCAATCTCAGCTGGGAGCAGTAACATTAGTCTCAGGATCCCCTTGGCTATAGCAGAGAAAAATATCAGCCAACGCTCCTACTCCTCAGCACCATCCAGTGATCACCGCTGTAACTGCACATGCAAAGGCCCTAAACTAAAGACAAGACGAACAACAGCAAATAAAATCTGCTGTCGAATCTCACGCAATTCGGAAGATTGCAGAGTTTTTTTTTTTCAAAAACCACCCGGGGGATCACGTCTCAAAATAAGTGAGCGACTTTCAGAAAGAAAGGGTACAGGGCAAAACTGAAACATTAAAACCGCCTTCACGATAATCGGAAAATATATTCGATAATTTAAAGACGCTAAACATACACCTGAAAAATTTGGACATCGCTTCAAAACTATACAATGATGCTAATCCGTTACAGTACTTTATTTGGTTGAAATAGTATGCTAATAACTATGTAAGACAGTTGATAATGTCCTTTTTCTAAGAAATTGGCCTTTTTGAAATTGCACTAGATTCATATGAAGAAATCTTCAGCACTATTGGAAGGGAAGTACAATAGTTAGTAAGATAACCAATGAGATATGTCCTAACAATAGGATCTGAATTGTTTTATTCACATCTGCCATGTGGCCAACTGTCAGAGAAAGATTTAACACTGGAACTTTCTTTTCAAAGCCAGTTCAAATTAGTTAGTTATTTCAAAATGTTGAAATCCTCTTTTACTGGGGGGGAAATATTCTAATATCAATTGCATTATTTGGTTTCATAAATATGAGAAATTACAGGACATTTCCAATCACACTAAACTAAATATAGTGAACAGAGAACAAAGCAGGAAACTGAAAAAGGACAGATATTTTAAGCGAATGTTTGGAATGCTGGATAGTGCAATTCGATATGCAAAGGTTTGGATACAAGAATTACAAAAAGGATAACTTTTTAAACATAGACACATAAGATGGGGCAGGACAATAAAGATCCAGGGCTCAGATGTGAATTAAAATATTTTGCGAGTACAGAATGCTAATCAAGAAGAATAATGAGACACTGGGCTAGATTACAAAAACATGGAATATAAAAGCAAAGACGTAGTGCTACAGTTGTATGGAGTGTTGAGTAGATCTGACTTGGAGTAACATGTTAAAAATATGGAAAAAATTGGTGCTATAAACTTTATGGCAGAGTAGAATAGAAATTGTTTGGCCCACTGTATACCATTCCTTACAATGTTCCCATCTGGCTTTCCTGAAAAAAATACTTAAACCTATTCCCCTCCTACAAGTTAATCCATCTTGGATAAATATATACCGATTTAAGATCCTATCGTTGAAAGATACTATCACTGACATTCATGAATTTAAAACAAAACTGGGAAGCGTTCCACAGCACCTTTTTTTCTTAATGCATCAATTGCATATCCACACACAAAATATAAATAATACACAAAAAAAAACTAAGGGGTGAATGCATCCGAGAGAAATAACATTTTACATCAAAAGATATGATCAAAGCAACATTAGCTGTGCGCAATTGACTGCCGCGTTCGCCCACAAATATACAGTCAATTCACTTTACAGTGTGTTCTGTGAAGCGCTTTGGGACGTCCTCCCGACGTGAAAAGCACTATATCAAATGTAAGGATTATTATTATTATTATAACTGAACTTGCAGCTTTAAACACTGGATGGCAGTAATACCTTATAAAATTAATTCTCGTTGATGCAAAAAAGCACTGAGTTCTTGCGAATTGACAATGCAGAGAAGCAAATAAAACACACATTGTGCAGAATCACTGATTAGCCTGTGCTGGAAAATTCTACATCAGTCCCGTGACTTTGTTGTGAACTGGCAGTATTCAAGTTATTTGTATGGGAATGAATACTTCCTTGACGAACAACACAAGGTGAAATTGAAGGTTTTTTTCGGTTCACGTCTCAAGACTTTCCTCTTCGACCGTGCACTCACCTATCCCCTCCCCCGGCTCGGCGCCAGGCTCCGCCACTATCAAGCGCTCTGAGACACTAGCCTGCAAGAAGAACGCTATCTAATGCAAACTTGTTGTTTTAGTCTTAATTCGTAGCATGTTTTGACACAGATTTCAGATGCAGCACTGATAACTGCTCAGCTACTGTCAGCTACACACTAAGCCAAAGAACAATTCCACTAAATTAACGTCATTCAGCTAGATGCTGATGAAAAGCTATCATTCTGCAATGAGGCATCACCTGAGTTCAAAAGGTAAACAAATCCCTCCGTTGCTTTGTTTAAAATTGCAATTAACATTTATGTCGCGCCCTCCGTGCTGGGCAGTGTCCCAGAGGGCTTGGCAGCGGCAGCATCTGACACCGTGCCAGAGGAAGAGGTGGGAAGGTGTCGGTCAGCACGATCAAAATGGAAGCTCTTTAGGCGGGATTTGAAAGTGGGAAGGGAGGGGGCAAGGCGGAGGGATTGAGGGAGAGTTCCAGAGTTTCGAGGCGTAGTGGGTATGGAGGTTTGTGCGGGTGAGGATCAGGGCGGCAGAGCTTTAGATTAATTGAATTTTGTGTATGGTGGAGCTGGGGAGACCAGCGAGGAGGGCATTGGAATAAAATGCAGTCTTGGTCAGGGAATGGATGTGGGGTAGATTCAGCTGCAGGAAATTTGCGCTCCTCCAGGCCTTGATGCCCATCAAACAAGCTGACAGGACTTCAGTGGACTGTTATCTAAATTTAATTTGTTAAATTTAATTAACGAACGGAAGGCCTATGGAAAGAAAAATCCCAGTCCAATCCAAATGTCCATGTCTCGAAGCACTCAGTAAATTTTTAATTTATTTTGGTTTCAAGGAGCTATCGGAAACCACTACGAGGGAGGAATTCTATAAAGTACTGTTCCCATTTGCTCTCACTAAAGATAGTTTTAAAGTAAGCAGTTCAGCCCAATTTGTAAATCTATTTTTGTTACTGTATAATTAAAGTCTCTGCTATTCCATTATCAACTGACCCAAGAAATAGCAACTAGTTTATTAAGAGAAGTATTCGGAAGTCTATACAACCTTGTCTTTCCCCGCCTGGAACCTTCCTTCCACAAGTACCAGAACTCTTTGGCCAATGCTTACAAGACTAACATCAGACAATTATTCACATTGAAGTAAGGTCATTGTTACAATCCTGCATCCCTACAAAATCCAGTTAACAGTATTTAATATTTTTTGAGAACAATGTACAACTTTCTTCCCAAGCCCAAATATTACTTACGCACATCAAAAAAAAGGAATAATGTTTTAGGAGAGCAGAAAAATAAATATGTATTAAAATTATCTTTTCATGTGCAAGTTTAGGATGAAATAACTGAAAGGATCTGTGAGTGACATACCTGAGTTGGAACAAGCACTGGTGGATATGCCAATTTATGATGCCTGTACATCCAGAAAGAGAACAGCACAACCACAGCAAATCCCATGATGGGTACCAGTGAATAAAGCAATATGTTGAACAGTGGTGGTCTTGGTGGAACCGGATTTGATGTTGCTGTGAAGGAAAGAAAATAATGAAGGAATTGTAGGAAACAAATTGCAGCACTGCCAGACCCAGATTACACTACTTACAATGAATTCTGAGGACTTAATGAGTTCGCTGCATTACAGGAATCTGCTTGGAGTAAACCAGCAAACCATAAAATTCCATTTACATTGAAAACATTCCATCTGTTGGGCTTATTAACTAGATTCAGTAAAACTCTTGTTATAATGAAATGATGACCTTCCAATTATGAATATCAGGACACTAACCTTCATGGACTGCTTGCCACCCCCCACCACCTCACCTCTAAGTGGGAAACTTACCTATAATTTTCTCCTGTTCAACAATGGACCTATCCTCATTTACTGATAATAAACAAAGGAATAATTTCTTTAAAAATCTTTCTAAAATGTTGCTGCATGATGTGTTTAATAAATCCTGTTTAAGCCTGAAGTTTTTATTTGAATCTCTTTTTGCAGAGGAGATTAAAATGTTTCAATAAAATTAAATAGTTTATGCATTATACCATACATTTTATTTGAAGGTTATCTTTAGGGCTTCCAATGTTTTCTATATATCTTTACTGACAGATTGGCTCCTATAATATCAGAATAGATTGAACAGCTGTTTCCCGTAGGGACATTATTCTAGATTTAAGATGTTTCAAATGTAAACAGAGCTTCAGATCCTCAATTTTACAAAAATAACTGGAACTGACAGTCCCTGTGGGTTACATATAAGAAATGTTGTGTTTGCTGTTACCCGTTAAGATAGCTTTAAAAGGTTGTCCACATCACAGCTGACATGCATTATGTATTTTGGCAACAGAAAAGAACATCAATACAAAGCAATAAGTACAGCAATTCTAAAGCAATGGCAGCTAATTTCCAAACGTGCAAGAGCTTTTTTTGCCTATGTTTCAGTTGCAAGCACATTCATTCAACTAATCCAAAACAAAGCATTGAAGAATCATTCAGATTTGAAATCAAGTGTGTTTTTGGAGCAAGATCTATATATACATATATTGTATTCAAGATTGTATCTTGAATATAATTTAGATGTTAAGATGGGTTTAATTACTACACCAAATTTTTAAGAGAATTTACGCCTTTAAGAAGTTATAAATTAAGTCATGTGTTGACTGCACGACACCCACATGATGTGATCTGCCTTTCTTACATTGTATATATGCTAAAAAGCCACTTTATATAAAAAGACGAGAAGAAAGTTGTAGCTATAATCAAACATGGACGCAACTATTTCTGATGCATTCTTATCAAAAGGTTTGTAAAAATCGGGATAGCTGCAATATCAGCATTTAGTGGGCCCGACAAGGTGCTTGTTTTTATTACATTCTGGAAACTTCCACTTACTGCAGGAGACATAGCATTTTATGCACAGGAGGTTCTTTTATTCCAAACTATACCAAACCAAGGTGCCGAATTACAGGTGAATTTGTAACGGTTAGTAAATGATAATACTCATTATTAAAATTGCTCCAAGGTTGGGTTGTAAACATAAGTTAGTGAAGTTTCATTAGGTTGCAGAGGTAGGAAGGAGTAAGACCGTGGACAACTTTAAAGGTGAGGAGTAGGATCTTCTGGAGCATGGGGAACCAGTGGAGCCGCGTGAGGATGGAGGTGATGGGTTCATGGAGCTTATTGAGGGAGAGGACACGAGCTGCAGAGTTCTGAATAATCTGCAATTTATGGAGGGAAGAGTTGGGAAGTCTGGTGAACAGGGAGTTAGCATAGTCAAGCCTGGACATAATGCAAATGTGGATTAGGGGTTTCAGTAGCCCAAGGGAATAGATAGTGGCAGAGGTGGGCAGTGTTACGAAAGTGGGGAAGGCAGAATGGTCAATGTTACGGATGTGAGGTTTAAAGGACAGTTGAGGGTCGAACAAGACATCAGAGTTCTGTTCTAGCTCTGTGAGGTGGAGAGTTCATCCATGAATAGTGATGCTGTCAACGCCTGAGGTGAGGAGGCGCTGATGGGAGCCAAGCAGGAGAGCCTTGGTTTTGTCGACATTCAACTGTAGGAAATTGGCCCTCATCCAGGATTTGATGTCTGACAGACAATCCGTCAAGACAGCAGTGGTCCTGGAATCGAGGCTGGAGGTAGAGAGATAGAGTGAGGTATTATCTGCTACATGTGGAAGTTAACCCCATGCCTGCGGATAATATCCCCGAGCGGGAGCACGTAAATATTAAAAAGGAGAGGACGGAGGACAGAGCCCTGGGGAACACCATACGTGACGTTGCGAGGGATAGAAGAGAAGCCATTGGTGTAAACAAAGCAGTTAACTGCTAGATTTAACTTTTTTTTGCCGACTAATCGAATTGTGTTTGCCCAGATCATTATTGGAGCGCTTAGTCTATAAATCTCCATGGCTATTAAAATGTTAGAAGCAGGAAAACTTCACAATTAAAAAAAAAAACACAGAATATTTCGGCATGTTTAAAACCTAGGACGGTCATCGTTATTTTCTCAGTGCGGGCATCGTTAAAATGGCGGGAGAAAGATATTTAGGCAGAGTTTCCGAAGCTGATAAAACTTATAAAACCATAAAACTGCCAGAGAGCACGTAAAAAAATAACCTTCTTAGTAGCTGGTTTTAGCTTGTTAGTAATTCACAACAGTACCGCAACCTGCACTTGTCTTTTGCCAACCTGCCCTCGGGTTCTCTGTGCTAGGCAAACAGGGGAAGGAAGGCTGTACATTTTCTCTTCTCCTGAAGACATTACCATACTGGCAAACAAAAACTGCTTTGGGGAATTTTCAGTAGTTCACAACTGAGAGACTAGCACACCTTGCATTTGTCAAGGTTCTTGGCTGACCAAACAAAAAGATGAGCATCAAAGTAACACTGAGCCAAATAATCTGTTCTTGTCTTTCTTCTCTAAATATGTAACTTTAAATCACTCCCCATTTTCTTCAAAACACAATTGTCTATTTTGAAGGACACTGGGAGGAAATCCCTTCTAGGCAGCTTCAAGAGATCATTAACATCCACCTGACCCAACAAGCCCTCATTTAATGTCTCACCCAAACAACGCCACTTACTCACCTGGTACTGCATTGGAGTGACAGCACAGACTAACTTGAGGCACTTAGTTAGGACTTGAATCCACAATGAACCCAGAAGCAAGAGTGAAAATGACACACATTGGCTAAGTGCGGAGCCAATTTATTGTATTTTAATTTAAGAGAAAATGCCAGAGAATTTGACCTCCCACATCTCGTTTCACGTGCCACATCATTCCCACCCTCGCTCGCCTCCACTGGCTCCCCATCCCCCAGAGGATCGAATTCAAGATCCTCATCCTCACCTACAAGGCCATTCGCCTTGCCTCCTCCCCTTCCTCCTTCAAGGCCGGTCTCAAGACCTTTCTCTTTGACCGTGCCTTCAGCTCCCCTCTCGACTCTCTTCCCCCTCCCCGCTCCCTCCCTTCCCTCCCCTCACCCTGACCATTTCCCCCCTCCTCGCTCCCTCCCTCCCCTCCCCTCACCCTGACCATTTCCCCCCTGCTTGGGTCCTGACCCAACTGTACAGCGCCTTGGGACGTCCTCCCGACGTGAAAGGCGCTCTATAAATGGAATCTTGTTGTTGTTGTTGTATACAATTAGACACTGTCACAAGTAGACATGTTTGGATCGCACCAATTCAGAATCTTGGCAGATTTCCACAAGTTCATTTCAAACAGTCATTGGAAGTTTGTGGAGTTAACAAATATCCCATGTTAATTCAGCACACTAAATAGGTTATTTGATCAGATCATCTCCATTCCAATTGTAACCCTTTTCCATCAGGACACACAACTACTTATTTTTTGCCTGCATTCGGATCTATTGCTATTCACTTCGGGTCTATTTTCCTCAAACCGAGACTAATGCAGAGTTTTACTAGACTGTTCCAATACAACTTTTATGCCTCAAAAATACTTGTATGCATTTGGGCATTGAACTCTAAAATGACCACTTACTTGCCTAGTTTAAAAAAAGTACCTGCTCTTTTCCATTTAATTGTAAACTTAAAAATTACAGAACGTAGTGAAGATAATTACAGAACTGGATATATTGCTGGAACACTGAATTAGCAGTTCAATCCTAGGACAATTATGTGTTTGCAATTGAGAACCTGTTTGTTCCAATAGAATGCAAAAAACTTAAATTATACAATGCATTCCCTGGTACCCCAAAAGCTTAGAGGTGTAATAACTACTACATTTGTTAAATGGGAACAAAAAATATGTTTTGCCATAGGCACAATCAGCAATATTTTCATTCTTATTGGTGCCAACTCAAATATGAAACTTCAAAATAGTCCTACTGATTTTACATAATGCAAATATAATAAACGTGTGCTACTTTTAATCTATTTATGTTGGTGTTCCAATTGCTGTTTGCTATCAAGAAACACCAGATGGAAAATGCTTGTTATGCGAACGTCAAGTGAATGTAAGATGTAAGAATGTAAGATCGGTCTTCCCTGTGATGCCTCTTGGTCAAATACTCTTAACATGCAATTTCTGCCCACACATGAACAACAACAGCAAAATTACGTTTATATAGCGCCTTTCATGTCGGGAGAACGTCCCAAAGCGCTGAACAGTCTGGTGTCGGGGCCCGAACATGGGGGAGGTGTAGTTGTGAGGGAAGGCAGAGAGGTGGGAGGGAGACCAAAGGCACAGTCGAAGAGAAGGGTCTTGAGACCGGCCTTGAAAGAGGCAAGGGAGGAAGCGAGGTGAAGGGATCATGGGATGGAGTTCCAGAGCGTGAGGGCAGAGAGGCTGAAAGCCCAGCCACTGATGGCAGGGCGGTTCGGGCGGGAGACATGGAGCAGGCCAGAGCCCAATGAGGGAGAGAGCAGGTTGGTAGGGAGTCAACAGGTCAGAGAAGTAGGAAGGGGTAAGGCCATGGATGGTCTTAAAGATGCGGATGAGGATCTTGAACTCGATCCTCTGGGGGATGGGGAGCCAATGGAGTCGGGCGGGGGTGAGAGGGATAGGGTCGCGGAGCTTGGTGAGTGAGTACACGAGCTGCAGGGGAGTTTTGGATGATCTGCAGCTTGTGAAGGGAAGAGTTGGAAAGAGTGAAGAGAAGAACAATGTCCACCTGGGAAAGGTAGATGGAGAAAATCTGGTTCCTATGGAACCATACCTCAGCAACGTCAGGAGGAGGGAAGAAAACAAGTGCACAAAAACAGGACGGGCGAGGGTGGAGCACAGGTACTGTGCAATGAAAAATTCAAACTGGTAAATTTCATAATTCTCTCCCCCTCCCAAAGAGGTCCATGGAAAAGGAATGAAATGGAATGCAAATTGAGGATTCCAGCACATGGAATATTTAGTTTTATTCAAAACATTACATTTCTTCTAAACTTCGATAGGAAAATATACTGTTTGCCTAGTTTTGTTTATTTACAAAGATACCCAATGTGAACTGTAACTTTTGCAAACTTGTCTTCAAGCAAAGTATGTGTTTCAAGATTTGAAAAAGTTCCTGTTCAACTTAACTATCCATTCATAATGGTCAATTACTCAATCATTTAATATCTAGAAAGATAATAAAGATGCAAACTTACGTTGCGGTGGAATAACCGGGGCATAAAAGAAACGCTCATTACACTTGGTACCTTCGCAACAACAGAAGAACACATCGGGGCTGGCTTTTGTTTCAATGCATTCACCCCTAGAAGACAACAAAATCACACCCTTTTGTTTTACATTTCTGCAGTTCCAAGTGGTCACACTGAACCGTATTAAAACTCACAATGAGGAGAATGCTAAGCTTATGAATTAAAACAGCAAAGCTAAGAATTCAGCAGTATATTTGAAAAGATTATCATGTAAAACGTACTTGTCATAGCAGTTCCGGTGATCCAGCCAACAGCCTTGTTTCACAATTTCTATTGAACCAGAGTTGTTTTTCCAAGTAGCAAAACAGTGTCGCCTTTTATCTTTTTCCCCATCACACTGTTCAATGCCACTGCGATTTGTTCGATCTTTCTCCCAGTATGCATTGAAGAAAATGCAGATTTGGTTCTCGGATCGACCCAAGATTGCACCTAAGAGGACATTTGAAATTCAAATTAGTTACGTTAAAATGTAAAAATATCTCAACACAAAAATAAGCTTGGCCTACAAAACACTGGACATATGCCAAAACATGTTTTGGGATTAGTTTAAGCAACTGCCACATACACATTCTGCAAACAGTCCTTTCTTTGTGAGGACACACCATAATACAAATAACCCTTACAACTGATGCTTTACATTGCCAAGCCATCTCAAAGTGCTTCACAGGATTCACTTTCAAGTGCAGTGACTCTGTATTTTGTAGGCGAATAAGGCAGCCATGTCGTGCGCGACGATATCCCACAAACTTCATAGTGATAAGTGGGTCAAGAAAAATGCATTTCACTGCCAAACCATCCAAATATTTTGGGAGAAGTAAACAATCCAAATATCCTGAGAAAGGAACTTTGTAGCAATGCCATTTGTGAGATTTATGATGCAATAATGGTTAACAATGCTGGAATATATGCCAATATCTTTGACACAAATCTTGCATAATACGGTTTATTACTAGTTTTCTGTTGTACTAACATAAACAGAGCAACAATAGTCAAGCATTGCAACATTTCAGTCTCCATGTTCTGAAAAGGGTATTGTTCAGCTTCACTGATTATATCGCTTGTAGTCATTTCAAATAAACTTAAGGCTTTTCTCTAATATAGTACAGAATCTAAAACACTTGCAATTGCTGCAGATAAATCACATTTTTGCAAGCAAATTACTGGTACATATTGTTGAAAAGACCAGCAGTGACCAACAAGTGAAATACCCTGTAGATTTGCAGTTAGTTACTTATTCTGCCCAGCGTCAATCTTGCCTTCTGACGAATACTTCCCAAGAGTAATGACACTGCGAAAGTAAACGTAAAGCTGATACCCTTGCAGAATACAAGATTCTGAACACTGCAACTAATCTATCATATCTTTTTACTTGTACACTACCTGCATTGAATAATCTGTTACAGCATGGGGTTTTAACTCCTTCAAAAGGGCGGCAATGTTTTCCGATCGAACATAAATTACAAAATAGGAATTTCGGTACGTCTACCAGAATATCAAGTGTTTTTCAAATCCCACCCAAGCTTTTTTAAGGACAGTTTTACCTTTTGTGTAAAAGTCAGGTGCACACTTTTAGTTTTTAAAAACAATAGTCATTACACAGGACACTTTAAGTGCTTCGAAATATTCAAGATGATGAGATGCCTAAAAAAAATTTATTTTCTTTAAATTAAATTTTTCTTTAATCCCACTTAACAGAAAATTCTATATTGTAATGTATTAGTTAGGCAATATGCAAATATCAACAACATGTATTTATACAGCACCCTTCACATGAGGTAGCATCTCCTAGAAGTGAAAAGGCCAACAAGTAGGTGCTATACCTTAGAATGATAATAATAAATAATAATCCTTGCATTTGATATAGCGCCTTATCACGACTGAGACATCTCAAAGCGCTTCAGATTATATTGTGAAGTGCAAATGTAATTTTGTTGTGAGCGACTGTACTTTGCGGCAATACAATGTAGGTCCTTCACACAATGAATTAATCATCATGCTATCAGGAGGTGACGGCGTAGGGCAGGTAATTCCCATATTTAGGATTTTAAAAAATTGCAGAGAGCATTCTAGGCTGTTAAAAAGTCACTATTCCTGTTTAAGGAGTCACAGAGACCTGGGAATGTTGGCAAGTTGCCAGACACTTGGTTGGCCAAAGAATGGTTTGTGGAGACGTACAATAATTTAGGGGAAGGGAGACGAAAGCTGTGTTCAGTTAAACCACACTATCTGCACATCTATTTGCCAAAACCTTTCACAGGTGGATCTGGATTGAACGGTTGGTGTTGCGCAAGCCTGGCACACAGTATTGAACTTGGACATCTAGAACATGAAGTTGTCTGGCACGTCATACTTCATACACTTAATCCTCGACGAGACAGACTATTGGAGGAAGAGCTGGACCAGAATTTCTGGCTATGTAAACATTGGTGTAAACAATTATACTTCAAACATTGTAAGAGAAATATGACCCCTGTTACAATGTTAATACAATTCAAACTTTGTAATTGTTTGAATCTCGTGAGCAGATAACTGCTCGAGGGATTCAAACAATCTTTCAAAGGGAATTGGATATTTTCTTGAAAAGAAAACAAATTGCAAGGCGATGGGGAAGGGAGAGTGGGATTAATAGGACAGCTCTTTCAAAGATCCGGCACAGGCACGATGGGTCGAACAGCCTCCTTCTGTGCTGTAGGATTCTACGATTCTAAGCTCTAACTGTTGGAATCATTGCCCAATCCGCAGGGATATTACGCACGTCTGAACTGGGGGTAGAGGATGGTGACAATGCTCTTACATGATTCATGCAGAGTTGTGCTGTTCACCACAAGCTCGTAGCGGGTTCACAGCAGTTCCTGCTAAACACCTAGTGAGAACTCAAAGCTGCACTTCTTAAATGACCAACAAGTGACTACCCTGGGAAGGGGGTAGAAATAAGCAGGGTCTCTTCGCAGCTGAGGCGGCCCCAAACTGATGTGTCTGGCAATGAAATGTCAGAATTGAATCAGCCCATTGTGGCGATCCCAGTAAAGTCTGGTTACAGCAGCCATACCACCTCGGGTCATCAACAGGACTTGGAAAGGTAGACTGGGGATATTTCTTCCCTCTTGGCTCCTGTTAACCCTTCAAGCTAAAGCCCTAATGGGTAAAGATGGTGCTAGTGGATAAGCACACAGTGCTCTCAACGACAAGCTATGCAGTTTTAGCTGTTTAAACTCCAAAAGTACCTAAACGTACACTTTGGGATGCCAAGACTTGGCCCTCGCTGATCTGACCCTTACTCTGTAGAATTAGGTAAACAGCATGTGTCACCTTAGGGAGAGAGAGCTCTTTTCATTCAGACATAGGAAGCTTTCCACGTGTAGATGGCACACACCTGCTGAACTCTCTGTTCCTCCAATATGTACAGTAGTTTGCATACTGATTGATCACCACCCTATTGATTTGAGATATTTTCACTTACACATATTTGGGATACGGAACTGATTAATTCTGAGAGCCCACTGTCTACCTTTCTGCAGAAAACTCTGTTAGACTTGCTTGTAAGAAATAGCCATAAAGTCAAAATAATGGTGATAGAATATCCCCAGCCTCCAAAAAATACCAAAAACAATTTCCTTAGGTTGCAAAATACCTTGATACTTGGCTTGTTTTTGTTTAAAAAAAATGAATATAGGGTACTTTTCTAAACAGTCCAAAACCACTTTTGTAGTGCTTATATAATCCTTGATTGGATTTCAATCAGCCTTATTCCCACATGAACTAGATACATTTTTTAACACGATACCAGGAGTAGAGTTTCAAACAATCAATTCAACAATTCTCCTATTGTTCAGCTCACTGCTCCAACGTAGATATTTGCTAAGTTTAATTATAACCACCAATAAAAAAACAAAATTATCACCTCTCATCACATTTTGTTGACTATGCACATACATTTCAAGCTCACAACAGACAGACTGCTTCAAGCTACTAAAATATGGATCTGGTTAACAGATTTCAGAAAGATAGAAAACAAATTCAGTTCTGTACTTTTTAAACCATGGACAGAAACTAAACACACCATTAAGTACAACAGAAATAAGTATCCACTGAAAGCAAAATGAATAGGCATGTGCATATCGTCAATATGAGGTTTTTAAAAATATGCCAGCTTCTAAATTCGGAAATTCAGGATTTTGCACATTATGCACATTTCCAGTCCTACCTGTAACACACAGCAAAACCAGATAAGATAATAGTAGTTGGGATTTATAAAATTCCAACACTCCTGATATCAATGCAGCTGCCAACAAGCACTTCTGCGTCCACCTTTCAAACTGTATTTGTTTCTCCTGATATCCCATGGCCAACATCTTTAGCATTGGGTGAAAAACAAAGCTGTAATTGTTCAGGCCATTAGCACCATTCTCAAGTGTCCAGATCGTCATTGTGGAGCTTAAGCATCAAGTATCTATGCTATATTTGTTTTACCCATCCTCAGATTGCACCTGAAGACTTTCTTCTTCGACCACGTCACCAGTAATCTCTCCCGTCCCTCCGACTCAATGTCAAACTACGCCACTATTCGGCGATCTGAGAAGCTATCCTGCACTATAGGATTGCAAGTTGCTATTGTTGTATTCAACCAAAGGATCTTTAATATACACCTTCATAAACTGACCAGACCTCAGCTTAACATCTCATCTGAAGGATGGCACGCACCTCCAACAATGTAGCAACTCCTCTGCACTTCATTGGATTGTCTACATAGAATTTGTGAAAGTAGTGAAAAATTTGGATTTACTTAGTATACACCCGAACAGATCAACATCCAACCCAAACTGTCGAATGTCAAAACTATTATGCCAAAGCGGTTTTGATTAAAACATCAATAATCAACTAATCATACATTCAGAAACTGTACACAATATTGTTTAGTGAGCAATGAATATAAAAATCATTTGAACATTGTGCTTTTACACTTTTTTTCTGATCCTTCAGTTAAAATTGCTTTTTGGTCAGCCAGGTATCTGACACATGTGGAAACCCATCTCAATGCTTAAGAATATCCAAGCCAGAGTTTTGTGCATGCCAACTACTCATGGAAATTCCCGTGTTTGGAGTGGAACACAGACTCGCCCTGGAGCAACACATCCTTATAAACCAATTCCGGAGAGTATTAGGCACAGGTTGGCAAGAGCCAAGGATGGCGGACCTCAGAGTGTGTGTTGGGGTATAGCTAACCTTGTATAAACTGAATTCATCAACTAAAACCTCATAGCTTCCTGCTGCTTTGGGCTTGTAGGGCTTGTAGCTATGTGGGAAGAATCCACTGGTCTGTCCATGTTTTTCCGATGAACCAGTTAAATATTGAAATATTGAAATCTGATTTCTCATACAATTCCTTACCACATGCTTTAGATAGGGTTAGTACTATTCAGAAATGCACT